GCCACGACAGGAGGAAGACATCCGCTTTAAATATGTATAAGCCCAGGGCGCTTCTCTCTCACACACACACACACACATACACACACACACTCACTCGAAAGGTAAATCAATTTAAAGATGGTTTCAACCGAATGGTGCAATCTGTCACAGTATGTAACAGACCAAAATACTGTTTTATATGCATTAAGCGTGTAGATTGAGTTATGCTTGGTGGTCTTGTCAACAGACTGTGTAAAATAAATGGACGAAGCCACCGTGACATCACCCGTTAAACCTTAAAGCATAACCTGCTTTACGGTCTGTTTTACTCTAAAGGGGCGATAATGTACTAAAAGACTTCTATACAGAGAGATTTATTTTTGCAACCAGAGGAGTTGCCCCCTGATGGCCATTAGAAGGAATGCAAGTTTTAAGTACTTCAGCATTGGTTTCACTTTTCAGGACAGGTGGCCACATCCACTTCTTTTATACGGTCCATCGTCTTGCACTGGACTTCCCTCCTGCACCACACATACAAAGCATTGTTGCGGGACTGCAGTGATTCATTTTGCATGCTTGAGTTATAAAGTGGAGGTGTTGCCTTTTCCAGGTCCTGATGTTTAACTAACATCAGGTTTCATAATAGCACTATTATCACACTACCTCCATGGAGAACTTATCTTACCGCTCAGGGCAATTATCTCTTTGTGGCTCCAACATACTGAGATGAATCTGCGTATTGCAGTACTGCAACACACATTTTTACTGTAACTGTCTTGATTCACTGATGAAAATGTAAAATAAAAGTTGAAAAGTGCTGCACACTTTGTTCATCTAAAATGAATGAATTGTCACTGAAAAGCAAAGTGTTTGCCACTCTAAGTGTTACAGATGACTAACCTGGATCTAAAACAGGTTTGACACGCATACTACCTGTCCATGGATCAGCTTCTGTTTTGATAAGCAGCCCCCTGCTTCCTTTTTAAATCATTTAACCCAAATGCAGTTAAAAACATAGCTGATAACATTTCAGCTTCAACAAGCATCACGCTGCTCCCCACACACTCATGATCCACTCATGCTTCCCTCGTTTGCTCCTCTGATTAAAAAGGTACAACCAACCCCAAAACCTCAAAGCCCCAAACCTCTGTGAACTGACCATCAGATGTTTGCTTCAGATGCTTGGCCAACTGCCATGCAGCAGCCTGTGGACTCTTTGGGGCCTAGTTTAATGTGTGCTTAAGAGACCGTGGGACCGGGCGAATGCTGCGCTCTCCTCCTCCAAATATCTGCCCATCATTTATTCATTCACACTCCCAGGATGGCCGCATGCCGCCATCATCTGAGGAGCCCGTCGTCTGAAGTCGTCTGTCGCTCAAACATACACACGCACATGCACTTTGCAAGCGGTCCCAGGGGTCTTTTAATTTTTTGAGAAGCTATTTTTAGTTAGAGAAATAATCGAGGTGGAAAGTTCCATCTGTCCAACACTCTTGTTCCAGCTGCTCCTTTTTAGCAGCAGGCGGAAAGAGGAGGGGGAAAAAAACACGCTACTTATCAGATAAAACTGACACAGACGGGATTTTCCGTCATATGCGTTCTGCATTAGCAGGATTTTTAGACTGAGAGGCATGCTCTAAGTTGGATGCTAGGTGCATCACGTCAAAACAACAACAACAACAAAAACTGCAAGATCGCCAGAGGTTACAAGCTGAGCTGTGTAGCTCTCTCCACCTCCTTAACACTTGTTCTTCTCTTTTCAAAGCTCTTGTCGGTTTCTCTCATCTGTCATCCGGCAATTGTTTAAAAGAAAAATAGAAACATAATTTTGGTAATTTGCAGATTTATGATGGGTTTGTTGTATTTAGTTATTGAATGTAGGTTTTGAAATAACTTTTTTCAAATTTCCAAAAATTTTGCCCAGCTTTTACCTCAACTGCTGCAACTCCCCAAAACCATCCTCACTGACACTATGAACCCATCATATTTGAACAAATTGATTGAGATGTAATCAGCAAACTGAGCAAAGGAGACCATGTAAACAACAATCAGACCAGGCATGCTATATCATTTCATACCTGGACTTTTAGCCGATCCACAAAGGTTAAGAAGCTCACACAGAAAGTGGAGAAGGGAGCTGGTCTAAGTTCAGCTTTGATGCAGACATGAATGCCCTGAATGTCAATGAGCTAAAAAATAAAAACATTCCATGTTGTCTTTTATTTATGCTTGAGTGCTCCTCGTCCTCCCTGGACTCTTCATTTCAAACATACAGAACAGTGGGATTGAAGTCTGGAGGCTAATCCAAACATTTCACTCTATGCAAATCTGAAATGTTCTATATATATATATATATATATATATTATGCAGACAAGCAAAACAAACAGTCATTGTTGAAGAGTTCAGAGCCACCACCTCTGCTTGAATTTAATTTACTAAAATTGATTGAACCTCCGGATCAGTCCCTGCAACACCCTTGAGGGTTGTTCGGGGTGAATCGTTAAATCGGGGCATCATGGACAGAGCCGCTCTGTGTTGGTATCGCCATGGGGGTTCGTTGTGACAACAGCTGAACCAATCAGTTTATTAGCATAGAGCCTCCACTGTTTATTCTTTCAACTTCTACAAACTTCCTCCAAATGTTTTCAGCACTGCACATCTGAACGGCCCAATATTCCTTCACTGTGTGGCTGTAAGATTTCTAAATGATAGAATATTTATGTGTGACTGGGGAGGGTTGATGGCAGCAGAATGTCATGGCATGTCCTCCAACTGATGATAAGTACACGTACAAACTTGGTGGTTGACGCATGTCCAAGTCATTTATTTATTTGACTTCTTCCTGTCATAGTTGCTCACAATTTTCTACTCTTCAAAACTTTCCTCTTTTCACCTCCTTTTAAATGTTGAGTGGTACGTCAGCTACAAATGCATAGGGCTGTGGCTCAGTGGATAGAGTGGGTCGTACTTTAACGACAAGGAGACGTGGTTCGATCCCCAGCTTCTACTGTCCGCATGTCAGAGTGTCCTTGAGCAAGACACAGAACCCCAAAAAGCTCCACAGGAGCAGGAGCCCTCTGCTCCTGGGGTTTAAGTAATGTCTGCATTAAAGCCAAAAAAACACGCTTTTTTGTCAAACAGATAGAGATTTTGTTAAAAATGGAACTTTTCCGGTCTCACTGTGCAATAACCAAAACAATCCGTTGTCCGCTAACACATTGAACAGATCAGATCAATCTAGTGACAATGTCTGACATGCAAAAAGTGGAGGTTAGTACACAAAGCCAAAACAAGCACCCACAATCAATACTGACTTTGCGGCATCAGAATGTATTTATAGAAACACTGGCAGCCGTCCACCAAGACGTAAAAGTACAGAAGAAAAACTGCCCAGCGACTGCAGAATAAGCAGGCTTGTTAATAGAGCTGCTAGGCACCGACATGCTAAGCAGATTCTTCTTTCTATGAAGTCATATATACTTGAACCTTCACTCATTACAATGGCTGAGGAGTTTTTGGAATTGGATGGACATGTGAGTGACTTGGGGAGGAAAATAAAGAGTGGCCGCAATCCACAATTGTTTATTTCAAACCGGGTTTTTTTCAGACAAATCAAATAAGCTTGTGTGCATGCGTGTGTATGTGTGTGTGTGTGTGTGTGTAACCCTGAGTGAAGCTGACAAGACACCATAACACCACTCATTCCAGAGGTATACAGCTAAACAAGTGAGCAGCGGAGTGAAACACCTGGGCAATCAGGACTGAATGCAAACTCACACTGTTGTTCTGTCCAAATTGACATGTCAGGCAGACGCGTGTGTGTGTGTGTGTGTGTGTGTGTGTGTGTGTGTGTGTGTGTGCATGCGTGGCTCAGTGGAAATGCTTTGTGTGTCCTGACATGGGGCTCTAAGGGGACTAGGTTGGCATTGTCTAGCATTTTTCTGCTGTGCTTTGCCTTTTCTCAAAATAATAAAGATTTGAACACAATGTTTACTCAATTTACTCATCAGCCTATAGATCATATTTGCATTAATACATTTAAAAAATGATGCTGCTAATGTATTGTGCCATTAACCTTTTCTTTAATGGTAATTATTTTTCTTCCTAAATGCTTACCCTGAACTACAGGAGATCTCTTAAAGCATTCATAAAGAACTTATTTAACAAATGTCATCGACAAGACAAGTGTCTGACAACAAAGAGCCAACACAAACATATGAAAAACTTGCCTTCACCTCCAATACCTGTATTGTTGGATTACAAAGAACACAACTAGACTAAGAAGGAAGATAAGGTCAACAAACTATAAAGTGCCACATGCAAACACACACAATTCCCCACAGGATAGGAGGATATTGTGATTTTCCTTTGGGGTTTTCCCCTCCTAAGCTGCCTGGTCTCCATACTTCTCGGCTGGGTACCCTCCACCGTCTTTCTTTTTCAAAACACAGACTCTCTCACTGTGCCACGTTTTCATGTTTCATTTTTTTATTTTTTTTTATTTTAAAAGCAGTAATTGTACTCCTTATGTTGTGTAAGACGCGCAAAGCGATATCAGGCACGGCATGGCACATTACGGATAAGACGTGCACAATCAAAAGTGCTTTTGGGAGAGATGATACGACTTACCGGGCAAAAGTCATCCTAAATCGGTGCTTTAGTTTTTGTGGAAATGCCGGGGATTTGTCTCCCTGATCCAAACATACAGTATTAAGGAGGACGGGGGATCAAATGGACGTGGCACGCGCCCTCGGAATGGAGAGGTTGAGCTCATGGCACAATTTAATTCCAAATACATCTGTTTTTGCAGTACTGATGCGGGTGCATTGTAGTAATGATTCGTACACGTGACAGAAAATATGTAAATCCTTTGGAATATTATCCCTATAACTTATTATTGTTTTAGTGATAATATATATTTGTATTGTCATTACTATTATTTGTATGAACGCCTGTGTACGGGACGCATTGTGCTTGCAGTTGAGGATAACTACAAGTTTCCAAGTGTCACACAACTTACCCTCCATGCAGAAAATGACCATCCAGGCTATCCATAGGTCCGAGTTATGAAACTTCACCATGGTTCGTAACTGTTCAGCGACTGCTTCTCAGTTTGAACCCAGTGCCTCCTTCTTGATGAAATCTCAGCTCCGCTCAGAGTTTCCTTGAAGATAAGTAACTGTTCCTCCTGATGGCGTGAGACATGAAAGCGGTCCGGTGTTCTTTTTTTACGCAGCGCACACCAGCGACATTTCCCGAATACAACGTGAAATGTTCAGAATGAGTGGTAAAAATAACACAGAGAGCATTTCTCTCCAACGGGCACTCGTCGGTCCTTCGGGCGCTTTTCACTCCTCCTTTCCTCCCGTTCTTTGGTAGCTGCTGGTCACTCCAAGAATTTTCTTTCACAGACCTCTCCAGTCAATTTGCGCACGCTTGGGGGAAACGCAACATCCACCTGCTGGTGAACAACAATATGCCGACAGTCCCTGAAAGTGACTTACAAACAGATCAGAAACTGGCGCTCATCCCGTCCGCTAGGCGAGTCTCTCCAACGCGTCTTATTGCGCTCCATGGTTTCTCGTCTGTTCTGCTGCGGCTGAGCAGACCTGGGAGCAAATTAATCGGCATTAGAAGCTATGCAACTTCCTGTTAATTTTTATTTCAAAATAAAACACCCGAGGAGGTTTTGTCATGTGGTGGATAAAGGAAGGAGGGTCATTGGCGGCAACGGCGTTACTGTGCTCTGAAACCTTGCGCGCCGCCACGACTGCTTTTTACTGAGCCGAGCAAAGTGTTGGGCACAGTGCGCCTGCGCCGTACGCTGAACCCAGCGTCGAGCGCAGTCCGTCAGTCAGGGTTGAACCACTTCGCTCTTCTACCTGCGTGCTCCCCACACTTTTAAAAAGAAAAAAAATGTTTAATTATTTTGTGAAGTCAGTACAAGTTGTAAAAAAAAAAAAACTCTCCGAACCAACAACTTAGCAAAATGTCTCCTCCAGTCCAAGGTGAAAACAATTCACTTTACTCCACTGAAGACCGGAGGGATCCATTATAGTCAGCCAGGATTCGTCTAAGTAAATAGGGTTACAGTAAATGACTGTGAGAAACACACCTGAATTAAGTGTGCCTTTATTTTGTAGTTAAACTCTACCTGGCTTCCTGTTTTAGGCGGTGTGTCTGTGCGGCGTGACTGCGCTCACCAGCGGATGATTAAGACGAGCTCGAGCCCGGCTGTTGCTGGGAGACCGCTGACGCCAGACGTGTGAGAGAGAGGGAGAGAGAGAGAGAGAGAGAGAGAGAGAGAGAGAGAGAGAGAGAGAGGGAGAGATAGAGAGAGGGAGAGAGGGAGAGGGAGAGACGTTCGTGCCCTCCTGCGGTGCGATTCCAGAACGACAGAATAGAATTCTTTATATAGTGACTCCGTTTACACAGATAGGTGGACAACATTTTACAGTAAACAATAAGTAGGCTAGAATAGAGGATCAATAATAGAATATAATTAGACACACGACTGCATAGTTCTGCTGTTAGGGGAATAAAAAAAGACTATTTTCTGCCATAACGATACTGGAATTAATCAGCCTCTTTGATGATCGTTGCTATATTAGGCCCTACATTCTGTGTCATTTTCAAAATCTGTAATATAAAAATCAGTGCAGTGTCACTGCAACACTGGTGAGTGCTTCACTCAATCCAAGTATGTCACATATCAGAGGCAGCAAGAGAAACAGGCAAGACAAACTGCATAGAAAGTGGCATCTCTTTGTGTGTGAACGTGTGTGTTTTTATCTTAATGAATCAAATCATTGCATGTGATTTCGTAGCAAAGCTGTGACTGGACTATGTCTGGTTGCTGCACAGGTTATTAGCTGAAAAAATTATCCAAAGATCAAAAGTTTTTGGTTTGTTTTCTTCTCCAATTGTTTTTTTAGGCTTTGAGAAAGGGACAATGAAAGGCAAAGACATGATGGGGCAGTGGCCTACATCAATCCCTCCATTCTTTCTTCTGCCCTGAAGCAGTGGGCAGAAATTCACAAACGTTGAGCTGTCATTGTAGACAATTAAGCTACAAGTTAGATGATCTTAAGGATGCCCCGTGGCCTTCACATCCATACGTTCTACATGTTATGTTTGACCAATAGTCCAAAACCCCAAAATAGCCCAATCTCTTTACTATCACACAGGGCTAAGGCAAAGAAAAGTGGCAAATCACACTTGATAAAATGGAACTAAGATATAGTTTTTAAAAAATACAAAAATGATGAATCAAATATCAATACAGTTAAGATTACTTATCAGTCAATCAGCTAATCATGTCAGCTCTAGTTCCGTTTGTGCCCAAATACTGTGGTGTTTTGTGCCGTGGTGTCGTGTCTTGTGTTTTCTCCCTCCCCTGACTCGCCGCTCCAGTGAGTGATTGTATGCAGCTGATTTCAATCAATCACGAGAGAGCTGGAGAGGGCTACTGATGGGGCCACGTGGGCCGGTACACTGATGTCTGTCTCCATTGCAGACTTCAACCAGGCAACAGTAAGGCAGTAAGGTGAAAAACATGCCCTTCTGAAAATACACACACTTTTGGCACAAAAGAAACCTCATACAAGTAAGCAAATGTTGTAAATCATCCACTGATGTCTCCCTTCAATATTCCCTAAAATGAAATAAAGGTTAAAACATGATGGATGAATTGGGTTTCCTCAGCAGCCCCAGAAAGATGCACGCTTGATTTATTATTGATTCCTTTTTGAAACTGCTTCATTTTTCTTTTTTCTTCACCCGCATAAAAGATTCAAAAGACCAGAAGGAGATCCTCTGTGCTAAATGTTGTAGTTCTCTCCTCCTGACACTCCTGGCCGGAGTTCATGACAACTTCAATACTGCTGTCGGGTATGACGGGTTATCCTTTGTTTGGGGCTGCATGGTGTGTTTTTTGAGTCGTATCAGCCATTATTGAGAGGCTTCACTTACTCTACAGTGTGTCCACTGCAGTGATGGAATACAAGTTTTAATGTATTTACTCAAGCACTGTACTTGAGTACAATTATTAAGTACTTGTCCTTTACTTCCATTTTACACTGCTTTATACTTCTTTTCCTATTCCACGTTAGAGGGAAATATTGTGATTTTCCTTCTTTTTATAGAATAAAATTGCATCAACTCCTACAACCTTAAAATCAGTAATAGCAATAAAGTATATTAAGAGCTACATTTTACTTCAGTGTTTTAAATTGAGCAAAAATTTAAATGTTAAACTTTTATATGTAAGAAGAACATTTTTATGCTGTGGCTTCTTTCAATGACAAGAAATGACACGTATCCAAATAAAATGACAACATCAAACGTGATTCATTGATTTATTCTTTATCTGAAGAAAATATATTTATGTTCAAAATTTATTAAAATCAATTACAATAACAAAACAACTTTTCCTATTTATTTTTTTGTGTGTTCTGTAAATATAAATCTTCAAAATAAAACTGCTCTGATCTTCGACTGGGACTTCAAAACTGTTATTAACCTGCAAAAAGAGAGAACACTGCCATCTTGTGGCGAAGAAAACACACTTCACTTGACAGAAGAACTCGTAAAAAAAAGGCATTTTGTTGTCAGAACATTTATGTTTCTGTCACACCAATGAAAAGACACAAAGACAAGGTGGCACTAATCCACACTCCTCATTGTCAACAGAGAAGATCATAAGAGACGAACAGAGCAGTCCGTTCTCCCATGAAGCATCAGTTCTGAAATGACAAAAGGGACAGTGCTGTTACTGCAGAAAGGACACATGATTTATTAAATCACGCCTTTAAGTACTGCAGTTCCTTCAGTATCTTACAATGTAGTGGCACCAGCATGAGTCATAACACCAAAAAAACTTTACATTTTGGAGCAGGAATGTCCAGTCAGCCCATGACAGGTTTAACAGTTCACTTCCATTGAGGCGATGAGTCAACAACAACTCTTTTATGACTCCACTATCTGACCTGTTTCCCTTCTCTACCTCCCTGGGCTTGGTTCTTTACTCTTTTGCTTGGTAAACCTATTATTCATACAACGTGTTCTGTTTCCTCTGAATAAAGCTGCAACAAAGTGAGGGGAAGGTAGCTTAAAGGTGATGAGATAGTAGACGCTTGGCAGCAGGATAACATGCTAAAAATGCAGATCTGGAAGATTTTCACTTGACAACAGTGTGAGCCTTGAGCCACACACACTACCCTGCACTACAAATGCCTGTTGCTCTTCATAGACTTGAGAAATGTTGTAAAACTCAACAGAGACAAGCATTCACACTCAAGATATTCCCCCGAAATACAGTCAACGTAGATTTGAGCCTACCTGAAAAGAAAGACATAGCGACTCCTGTTTTGCGCTTTTCCAAACAATTATCCTCAGTGACACTCACAGGTAACCTGGATCAACCGTATCGTAACCATGTGACATAGCCACGCCCCCCCCCCCCCCACACACACACACACACACCCACACACACACACACTCTCCCTCTGGGTTAACTGTTTGTATTTACTTCAGGAGCTGCTTTAAAGTGCAGGCGGAGACATCAGAGTTAGGAATTATGTGCACATTACAAACCTGCACAGTGGCAACTCTGAGTAGGACAAACTATTGTGTGATGGTTGATGCTGCGTTATATTTATTTCTAGATAGATGACCTCCCTTATTACTTTTAACTTTTACTTAAAGTTGCTGTGAGTAAAGGTTTAAGGATCTAAATACTTCCACCTCTGGTCCGATGACAGTGACAGTGTCAGCCGTTACACATTCGCTGAGGTTTTCAATTTTCAATCCAAAACAACTATTTAACAATTATCAATGAGAAACGACTACATTAAATATTACCTTACAGTCATTTAGCAGATGCTTTTATCCAAAGCGACTTACAATTCAGATTCTATCACATTTCTACACCGTAAGCACAGCTACGGGAGCAATTTTGGGGTTAAGTGACACATCGACATGTGACTAGCAGAGCCGGAGCCGGGGATTGAACCGCCAACCCTCTGATTGAAGGACGGCCCTGCTATCTTAGCCACAGTCACCCCCATATGATACATTTACTTATACTTTGTTTTAATTTCTGTTTTGTCTTTTCAACAAAATTGAATAAAATCTATTACGGTGACAAACGACACTCTTAAAATATAAATCTTGAAAATAAAACTCCTTTAAAATAATTGCACTTTTAACTTTGATTGAGCTTAAAGAAATAATAACACTTCCATCTTGTGGTGAAGAAAATGCACTTTATTTTGACAGTGGAACTCTTGCATTTCGGTGGCAGAACATTTACTTCTAGGAATCAGCAGGCTTGTTTACACAAGACCAGCATGTTTCTTTGACATCAATGAAAGGACAGGAGGGAAAGTTACTTCAGACTCATTTTGTTAATAGGCAGGGTCGTAAGACACTGACAGCAGTCCGGTCTCAGCTTTATTCCTGAAATGACAAAAAGGACAACGCTGTTACTCAGAGAGGAGACATGAATTATTAATAACATCTTAAATGCCACAGCTCCTTCAGTATCTGTAGGGTATGAATCGTTGTGGCAGCAGCGTGAGGCAAAACAAACAAAAAAAAGAAAACAGCATACACACACAGGAGGGCGTGGTGTGTCACACCCATAGCTAAAACTGGTAATGTGGGTCACACCTGATGTTTACCCGGCCCCAACCTTTGAAACTAGGTTTGACAGGCATCTTACCTGCTCAGCTGCATTTTTCGACTACTTTACAGTAACTTGGGAAGACTTTGACAAAAACGCAAACCCAGCAAGGCCTAGAGTAAAGTTCATTTCTATCAAAAATGTAAATGGCAAGAGATCTCTAAAAATGAGCTGTAACATTGTGCCTACCTCATCACTGCTGGAGCCTGAAGATGAGGAGTCTGAGCCTGAGCCGGAACCTTTCCCCTCACACTTTCCATCCTTGTCCTTCTTGTCCTTCTTCTTTCCTTTGCCGCCTTTGTGACTTGACTTCTCCTTTTTGTCATGCTTCCCCTTGCATTCTCCCTAAAAACGGCAAAAAGTTTGACAGTTGAATAAATAACTGATTGTGTTTGTTTTAGTCTTAGGAATTGTTTGAGTCCAGGAATCATAATTAAGCAGATTAAAAAGACTTAATGGAAAAGGAATTTTTTTTTATTGCAGTTTTATTGCAGTCACAGAATGACTAGATTCATATACTACACTTGTGATCTACACATCCAAAGCTCTCACCTTATCCTTCTTTTTATCTGTTCAGGTCAGAATGAAAAAGTGTATCAGGTTAGAATTAAAGTGATAATAAAAAGAAGTATCCTGTGACAAAATAAAACTCTTTATACATCAAGAGAACAGCTACAAATAAAATACAGCTTGCTTAGACTTTGCTTACACATTTACATTTTTTCTAAAGCATATTAGATAATGATTAAAGTTGTCAGGTGCGAAGCATGCCTCTAAAATGCCCGTGGCTCATCAAGTGTTACCGGGAATTTAAAAAAGACAAGCATTCAAAGCCTTAGTCAACATAAATTTGAGCTTACCTGGCATTGTGTCTCCTGCTCGTGTACTTTCACAAACCCCAGTTATTACAAAGACTCAAATATAAGTACCTGGATTACCGCACCTAAACCACGCGTTTTGAACCTAACCACGCCCCCAAACCACCGCTCCGTCTGGGTTCAGTGCAGATGGAGACACACAATTATACGCACATTAGAAACCTGTACAGTGGCAAGTCTAAGCAGGGCTAATTATTGTGTGGTGTGAACAAGTCAAGGTAAATATAATTAAAGTATCCAAAGTAACAAGTAGTCATTATGAAGAATGGCCTTTTTTGAGAGTTTCATTACAGAAATATATATATTCCCCTCTGCATAAAATGGGGAAGCATTTGTAGCAGATTTCATTTCAAATATTCTGAAACACTTCCAAAATATATTATTTGGGAAGTTACGATGTTAACAGTTCCAAATAAGTAGTACTTTTATTAATAATAATATGGTGTTATTGTTGTTGCTGGGAATAAAGGGCTCCGCCTGGAGAGAAGGCTGTGACTGAACATAGCAGTATCTATAATTATGGTTTGATTAAATAATTGGGGAACAGGGTGTACTCTCTCCTTTCAACAATGAAAACTCATGTTAGAGAATGTAGAACAGCTTGTATGTCATGTCTTATAATTACCAGTGTTTATTACAGTAGAACTGAAGGAGCTCTCTCACAAACAGGGAGTGCATTTACAAGAGAATTCACTAAATCAAAAACAGGAGTATTAGATACTAAAACGTAAGACTAAAACCAAAAAGCTTTACCTTTGAGCAAGATTCACCGACTGAAATGGGTCCTTTCTCACATGCAAGGCGTAAACAAAATACAACGGCACAGGTTTACTTTAATTTGCCAACCTTTAAAATCTCCTCCACTACTGCAACAAAACACTAAACAAATGTAACCTTAGTCACCAATTGGCTAACCAGTTTTTGAAATATGATTGTATTTTGTATTACTTTTGGTGGAATGAAAATATTTTTCACTCCACTACATTTATCCAACAGTGACTTTTTTTTTTAAAACCACAATTGATTTCTGTTTATTTTTCTAAAGCGAAAGGTTTTCTGGTTTGTTATCTCAACAAAATGTATTACAATCACTTATAACGACAAACATCGTGTTTGTGTTTTGTACTCTTAAAATATAAATCTGCACTCCTATGTTATGGTGAAATAAACACACTTGACAACAGAACTTGATGGGAAAAAGAAGTGTTCAAACATTTATTTTTGTGAATCGGCAGATTCATTTACACATCACAATATAATAGAAATATACTTTATTCATCCCCAAGGCCAAATTTGTCAAAATGCAAGGACAGGAAGGGGAGTTGGTACAACTGCACATCGTCATTTTGTTAAATAGACAAGATGATAAGAGACTAACAGAGCAGTCCATTCTCCCAGGAAGCATCATTCCTGTAATGACAAAAAAAGGACAATGATGTTACTTCAGAAAGGGCCGGAAACGTAAAGCTAAGACCCTTCCCTATTTACAGTGCAACTCTTTGTACTTAAGGTGTACCAGCACAGTATGTTCTGATACATAGGCCGACACGTAGGTACGAGGGAACAACTTGTGATGTCAGGTAATGAGGGTGTGACAATGTGGGAACTGAATAAAAATGTATACTGTAGGTATTTTTAAAGTATACATTTAGGCACCAGGTACTTCTTCAAATATCACGGCCAGCATGATCATCCTCGAGAGGTCCAGGTCACAAAGGTCCACCATCAACAGCTGCTGTTGTTGCTGTTGTTGTTGAGGGACACTTTGGAAATGATTTGCATATTGTATGTGGTTTTGGCATTAGGTGTGCTCCTCCCTTTTCCCTCACTTCACATCTAGTTCCATCGCAGCCTATCCATCATTATGTACTGTGCGGGTGTACCGTTAGTCCAAATACTCACACTGTAAGCTGTATTCTAAAGTGCTGCTGCAGAAAGAATACATGATTTATTAAAAAGCATCGTAAATGCCACAGCACCTTCTGTACCTTTAATGTATGAATCGTCAGATTCAACATAACAGCAGTTCACTGTCATGGAGACGATGAGTCAACAACAGCTCTTTTATGACTCCACTATCTGACCCTTTTCCCCCACCCTGAGGCTCGGTTCTTTACCCTTTTGCTTCTGTCATTTGCGTGGTAAACCTATTCATACAAATACGACCGACATGCTCTGTTCGGTTTCCTCTGAATAAAGCTGAAACAAAGACAGAAGTTTGGCTGCATGAACAACATGAGCTATAAATAACACAGCACACACAAACCAGTGAGGTGTGTCACACCTGATTAAAACTGGTACCTTGTTCTACGCACACCGACCTTTGGCGTGAGGTGTGATGGGTGTGTTACCTGTTGAGCTGCATTTTATTGCTTTTGAGCGATTGAAAGGTCTTGAGGTCAACAAACAACGGAAGTGTATCGTGGGAACACTTATACAAACTGAACACTGGGAGGTGATTAAAGTCTGTGTTAAATTCTATATTAAAAATTGAATTAGCAAGAAATCTCTTAAAATGAACTGCACAGTTTGGCCTACCTCATCACTGCTGGAGGATCCGCCTGAGGAGGATGATGAGGATGAGGATTCGGATCCTGATTTCTTTCCTTCACAATGTTCACTTCTCTTCTTGTCCTTCTTCTTGTGTTCTCGGCAGTGTCCGTCCTTGTACTTTTTGTCGGACTTGTGCTTTTTGTCGGACTTGTCGCCTTTGTCAGACTTGTCGCCTTTGTCAGACTTGTGCTTTTTGTCGGACTTGTCGCCTTTGTCAGACTTGTGCTTTTTGTCGGACTTGTCGCCTTTGTCAGACTTGCTGCCCTCCTAAAAATGACAAAAGCTGACTTTGAATAAATCATTGATTGCGTTGGGTTAGTCTTAAGGGTTGAAGGGACATGAAGCAGATTTAACAGAAGCAGTTGCTGTAAACAAAAACAAAAACAACAAAAAAAACAGCTGAAATCACAAGTAGTTGCAAAGTATTACTCCTCAGTACCTGGAGAAGCTCTTGTGCGTATCACCTAGCCTGCATACGCATCTTTGTTATGTACACATACAAAACCACATACCTTATCCTTGTTCCAGAGCCAAGTAATCTCATCCTTCTGAGCTTCTCCCTTCTTCACCTCTTCTTCCTCCCCACCTAAAGCTGCACACGCGCAAAAGAGACAATTGGTAAACAAAATCCTAGTGACAAAAGCAAACTCTTTACACAACAGCAGTACAGCTAATAGTCTTTGGTTTCACTCTTTTTGTTTGGTAACGCATACATCAGATAATTTACCTGCCACGTAGGAGACCTGAAGCTGGCCTAAAATACCTGTTGCTCTTCAATTAGCTTAGAATTAGACTAACATTCAAAGTCTTCCTCCTAAAATAGTCAACATAAAGTTGAGCCTACCTGAACACAGATCGAAAGACATCGGGACTCCTTTTCGTGCTGCGCGCTTCACCAAACAAATGAGACTCACTCACAAGACACAGGAGACCTGGGATTGACAGCACCTGAAACACGTGACCCAAAACACGCCCCCCAACCACCGCTCCCGCTGGGTTCAACATTCACCTGCATGTCACATGGCCTTCACATTCACTGGAGAAGTTTTCCAATGCAGGCTGAGAATACAGAGTTGCAAAATGTTTAAGGCTGTGTAGGTTGTTGAATCCCCTCTAGGGGGGGGCAGAGACACACCTGGAGAGAGCTCCAATCCCACCCCTCCAAAAGTAGGAGCATCAATACTCCATTGCAAGTAAAATCCCTGCATATGAAGTTAAACAAAAGTTTAAAAAAACAACGAATGCATTAAATAGCATTATGCAGAGCAACCCTTATCAGTCTTGAATATTTTAAATTAACGTTTGAAGATCATTTTTAAAGAAATGACCTCGCGGTGGATTCAAGGCTTCGTCTGGGGAGAAGGGTGCAATGTAGCACATATAATTCCCAGCTGATGTTATTTCAAAGTGATAGTACACTAACCAAGACAAAGTAATGAAAATATGGGAGAATGACCTCTAATATAATGTGCAGGCTATAAAATAAAGCAACCCTCGGTCACACCGGAATTAGTGTTTTCAGTTAGTATTTCACTGGCATACTACATATTTACACCTTCAATATTTTCACTGTAAATTTACAGACTAATCTAAAGCGTTACCAACTGTTTTTGTAAAACAGCCGTTAGAAGCTTTATTCTCATTTCCTTCTTCATTCAAAAGCCCCAAAATAAATGTCTAAATCCAGAGCGTTCTTGTTCTGTTCCTGAAGAACCTGAGATGCAGGAGTACCTGAAGGCAGCATAAACAGGAGACAAGAAACAAAACAAATAGAATCATATTGATTTATTCTGCAGTGAGGATTTTTCATTGTATTTTTTCATGTGATTGTGAAAAAAAATCCACAAATGTGCTTTTTATTAATAAAAAATACAATCATCATTTCTTTAATGGTATAATTATATTCCTCAACTTGAACATTTCCATCGTGACACAATGCGTCTTTACACAGTAACCTCTGTTTTCCACCAGATGAGTCATCATATTTTTCTTGCATGAAATCAGGGTATCGTTAGGTTATCTCATCATAACGTTCAACATCCTCCAGTGTCATATAAGCTGTGCTTTTAAAAAATATCTGTAACATGTACTTTGATCTATGACATCTCATTATTGCTAAGGCTTGGGGCCTTTCAATAGGTCACTAGAGGTGAGATGGGAGGTGGAACGGGTCCCTCCCTCTCCATACCTCCGTGGGCTCCCCATCAGTGATTCCATGGGGCTGGGAGGTCTGCGATTGGGGGCCCTATCTCCAAAATTCAGTGTGGAGCCAGGGACATAGGAGCTATGGACAGAGGAGACATGGACAGAGGAGCCAGGGACATAGGAGCCATGGACAGAGGAGCCAGGGACATAGGAGCCATGGACAGAGGAGCCAGGGACAGAGGAGCCATGGACAGAGGACCCAGGGACATAGGAGCCATGGACAGAGGAGCCATGGACAGAGGGCTTGGAGACAGAGGAACCAGTGAAAGAGGAACCAGGAACAGAGGGCTTGGAGACAGAGGAACCAGTGAAAGAGGAACCAGGAACATAGGAGCCAGTAACATAGGAGCCAGGGACAGAGGAACCAGGAGCAGAGGAACCAGGGACAGAGGGCTTGGAGAAAGCTGAAGTACTAAGAGGATCCAGCTTCACAACAGGCTTGGAGGGGAGTGGCACGAAGGAGACGACAGTAGCAGTGCCAGGAGCAGCACCAGGCTTAGAGCAGCTGCCACTGGGTGAAAGTCCGCCGCCACCTGATCCTGAAACTTCTGTTTTTGGCTCGCCGCTTTGCTCGCCATCAGGGCTTGCCTGCAATGAAATCAATAACCACCACATGAAGGATAGTGTCAACGGAAAATCGAGTTACGGAAGGTGAATAAGACACTGAGGGGAAGATCACGGCGTCGGTTTTTACTTACGCCGTAAGTAAAAACTTCATGCAGTAAACTTACACTCTTTTTCTTCTTGTCAGTTTCACTTCCTGATGAGCCAGAACTCTGAAGGCCAAACAGGAAAAAATGAAGTCATTTTAACTTCACATAGATATAGACAGACATCATCTGATGATAATCCCATTTCACAAGTATTTCACCTTTTTCTTCTTCTTCTTCTTGTCCTTCTTGTCCTTTTTATTCTCCTTGTCACTGCCACTGCAACCATCAGATGAACCCGATGGACCGGAGCTCGAGTCCTGCTCAAATATAAAGCACGGAACACTCCATCAACTATGTTTTGTAAAACAAAAAAATAGCATACATGTGTTTCTCCGTACTTTACAATAGTTCACCTTCTTTTTGTCCTTCTTCTTTTTCTTCTTCTTGTCATCATCACTGCTAGAAGAATCAGAGTCCTTGATGGATGCGAATATGGTAATTGTGTTACTGTATCATTAAAGACATCCCATCTTGATATACACAGGGAACGTACAAATATATTAAGCAGGAGGCTGCACTGGACACATACAACACATTCACATTGTTTTACCTTCTTCTTGTCTTTCTTTTTCTTCTTATCCTTCTTCTTCTTTTTCTTCTTATCGTCATCACTAGAAGAATCGCTGGACGATTCAGAAGAAGAATCCTGGACAGAAAGAGAAACAAAAACGTTTAGTCATCACACCACCTCATGCACACATGCTCACATGGTCATTCAGCTGTTTCACGTCACTGACCAAAGATCATCAACAGTACTTTTTACAGGAAATGTCACATATAACAAGTTGTTAATGAACAAATGTTGTAACTCATATAATCAACCAAAAACAAAGATGAGATGTTCTCACCTTCTTCTTCTTATCCTTCTTCTTCTTCTTATCTTTCTTTTTCTTCTTCTTCTAAAGTAAGAAAAAGACATGTACTCATGATGAATTGTGTTGCCGTTTATCTCTGTTAACTTCGTAAACTTGGTTACTGATGAATAATTCACGAAGTAGGGACCGTAATATCTGTGTGTTTCATCTTACCTTGTCATCGTCACTATCAGAGGAAGAGGAGGAAGAAGAGGAGCCATCGTCAGAAGAGCTGGCCTTCTAGAAAAAAAGGATATCAGTGAGTCAGTCAGTCAGTCACAGAAGTGCATCCAGGTTCATTAAGACTCATTCATTCACGTTTTCACATGGTTTTACCTTCTTCTTCTTCTTTTTCTTCTTCTTCTTTTTCTTCTTGTCATCTTCATTACCAGAGGAGGAAGAGCTGGAATCCTATAAAGAGAGCAGATGAATACGTATTAACATTAAACAATACACCTAAAAAAAGTAATGTACAGAAGTGTTGTAAACACAAACCTTATCCTTCTTCTTCTTTGTCTTCTTCTTCTTTTTCTTCTTCTTCTTCTCCTCTTCACTATCAGATGATGATGAGGAGGAGTCCTGTTCAGAGATAGAGCCGAGGATGATATAATAACACCATAATAACAGCACAATTACAAAAATGTAATATAGAGAAGTGTTGTAGACACAAACCTTATCCTTCTTCTTCTTTGTCTTCTTCTTCTTTTTCTTCTTCTTCTCCTCTTCACTATCAGATGATGATGAGGAGGAGTCCTGTTCAGAGAGAGAGCCGAGGATGATATAATAACACTATAATAACAGCACAATTACAAAACAATGTAATATAGAGTCATGTTATAAACACAGACCTTATCCTTCTTCTTCTTGGTCTTCTTCTTTTTCTTCTTCTTCTTCTTGTCCTCTTCACTATCAGAGGATGAAGAAGAGGAGGAGTCTGAATCCTATAAAGACAGAGAGAGCCGAGGATGATACAATAACAATAAACGACACACATACATAAATATAATATACAGAAGTGTATATTATACAAACCTTATCCTTCTTCTTCTTCTTCTTTTTCTTCTTGTCATCTTCGCTATCTGAGGAAGAGCTATCAGATGAAGAAGAGGAGGAGTCCTATGGATCAGATCAAATACAAATATTCACATTGATTTCCACAAGCAGACAATTTAACTTTTTTAATTCACCAAGCCTGCACGCAGGTTAACTCATGGATCCGTTTTATACAAATAAACTAAATTTACCGTGTGCCACGATACAAAAAGGAAACATACAATATACATCCCTATTTATTTGTGTGATATAATTAAAAAACAAAAACATCATCACGGCTGTGTATACCTTTTCCTTCTTCTTCTTCTTCTTCTTCTTGTCATCATCACTGTCTGAGGATGAGCCAGAATCCTGTAACAAAACAGAAAAGTTTTTTTTGGTGATGTTGATTATCCTTTATCATAACTATATGTTGCCGTAAATGTTGCATCAGTACACGGTGGTGACAACGCACAATAACAGCTGCAATGCCTCATTCTGTTTGAAAGGTGCAGCATGTACATAGTATAATCACCTTTTCCTTCTTCTTCTTCTTCAACTTCTTCTTCTTATCCTTCTCCTCCCCTCCTTCGCCCTCGTCATCACTCAGATTGCCTTCCTCAATACCATCGGGGAAGGCCTTTGCTCCCCCTGCTGGACAGGAAGCACCATTACCACCAAACCAACAACACTTTAACAAAGCCTCCAACATACAGTATGTGTGGTGTGTTTAAGAGCTTCAGTAGCACACATACCAGCCATTGCAGAGGACAGTTTGCCTTCTTCTGTTGCTTTCTTGGCCTGTCATGACAAAAGAAAGCAATGACTTTTAGTGCATCTGCGCATACATGTTTGGCACGTACGCATTATGTGTGAGTATTTCACCTTGTCAGCACATTCATCTTTCTTCTTCTCGCCATCAGCACATGGTCCTGCAGCCTCACCATCTGCAGAAAAGTCCAGCAATACTGCATCAACCTCAAGAACGCAATGATCGAGATGTCTATTTGTTGCTCTGATCATTCTGTCTTTTTATTTTTCAGTCACTTAAAAGTGAAACACTCACCGGCAGCTGAAAGAGCAGTAACACTGCAGAGCTCATTCTGCTCTTCATCCTGTGGAAGTCACAAACAAAATCACGCTCAGGTTTACTGCTTAAACTGCACCCTGTACTTCCTCTTAACGGTGCACTGCATGCACACACATAAGGGTTTCTCAGAGGGCGTGTGCACTGTTGGAGAATGTGGTTTGTTTATTTATTACAAAGTGAACACACGCTGCTTTACAGTTGTGCATTCGTTCTTAACATAATGAAAACTAAGCCTCATGTGTGCAGAAAAGAAAAAAAAGAAAAATGTATCCTGACTCAGCATTCCTACAATAAGTAGAATGCCCCGCGAGGTTCACGAGAGGAGCAGCCTCACCCCTGACCTGAAAACATACGGAATCATTGAGAAGCTTCAGACTTTTAAAAAAAAGAATACAATAAGGGCTGTTCACCTTTTTCTTGTCCTTCTTCTTCTTCTTCTTCTTTTTCTTGTCCTTCTTCTTCTTCTTCTTCTTCTCATCTTTGTCACTGTCAGAAGATGAGGATGAAGATGAGGAGCTGGAATCCTGTGTCAAGGAAAAAACAACTGTTAATCTCTACAGATAAAGAATCAGTCATCATAGTTGTATATGTATTACTGTATAATTTCTGCACAATCCTTCCAATCTTAATTGACACAGTAAGTAACAGCAGCACTTTATGTATTTAGAAGCAAGAGGCTCGTTTGCATTACCTTTTTCTTGTCTTTCTTTTTCTTCTTCTTCTTGTCCTTTTTCTTCTTTTTCTTCTTGTCATCCTCGCTGTCAGAGGAGGACGATGAAGAGCTATCTGAGGAAGAGGAGCTGGAGTCCTTTGAAAGAAGAACAAAACAATTAAAGAATCCGTTTTGATCATTTGTATTTACACACGTCCAACAGACAGTTGAAACCCAACAATATTGCAACTGCATAGAGTCAAACAAATCATACCTTCTTCTTCTTCTTCTTCTTCTTTTTCTTCTTCTTCTTCTTTTCATCCTCACTGTCAGAGGATGAACTGTCAGATGAGGACGAATCCTGGGACAGAGGAAGTACGGTAGATATTCAATAACATAATAAATGTAATTCATATTTTAATGTTTCATTGTTTTCATTACAAGTAATATTTAATGACGTGAGCTTGTCCAACAAAACAGTTACTTTTGCCCTTCCAAATTTAAAGTATATTATTGGGCAGCACATATACCCAGCATCCTGTACCAGCCCCGTTATGATTATGGCCTGAACGACTGGGACCCTACCTGGGTGCAGATGGAGGAAACTTCGTTCAGACCAGCGGTACGGCGCTGGCCTGCGCCTGTCTAATCGAATTCATATCCCTGTATTTAATCAGTGCTAATATGGACACAGTCTAAATGCCACTACAGAGTTCAAGCAATTCAAATACTTTCTCCTTGCAACAACCCAGTTTTCCCTCCGTCTCTGGATGACAATGTCAGTAGGATGTGGCACAAGAGAGGATTTACAGCATTTTAAAAAAATATAGAAAAAATGCTGGCCCTTGAAATTCAAACTCCCCTGAACTCCCCATTTCAGTTCTGTACAGTCTTCTCATTTCCATGAAAACAATAAAAACTAAGCTTAAGAAATAAACAGTTATTATTGTATAATCTGATGTATTGTTGAAAATGTGTACATACCTTCTTCTTTTTCTTCTTCTTTGTCTTCTTGTCCTTCTTCTTCTTCTTCTTTTTCTCTTTCTTCTTGTCATCCTCGTCATCTGACGAGTTGAAATTCTGAAGCAAGACAAGGACAAACATTCCATGATGACTACTCTACCAGCAAACAGCATGTTGTAAAATAGAAGAAGGTTTAATTAATCTCTCTCACCTTGCTTATCTTCATACCGTCTGCACACTGCTGCTCCATGTGGCCACCAGGACCTGAGAACATTCAATAAGTTGAAAATAACAGTTCCATGCTTTGTCAGCTGAGAGACATTTCTTTAATCAAATGGTCGGCAGAATAAAAAAGGATATTTATAGACAATCAACACAATTGTGAATATTGTTCAATGTAATTACAGCCCTCTAAATTTTCTTTACGAAATAAATTAAAATGTATAAACACAGAGCTTTGTAGACTTTTGTTTTACTACTGTAGAACAGGACCACATGGCCGATAATAAATATCAGACTGTGCATGTCAGAGTTTGACCGACTGGTGGCTTAGTCTCTTCTGTGTCATTGTACACTTAAACTGTCAGTCCAGACCATTATGACCAAATAATGAGCGAATGTGGGTGTCTTGAGAGGCCGTGTTATGACTGAAGGCTCTGAACTCACTTATAAGACAAGCAAGACTCCACCTACAATACATGCCCACCAGGCTGACCTCTAACCTACAATAATCTAAGTAATATAACGAGAGATGAACTGAAATCAACTTCTTGCAAAGAACCTGAGAAATGCTTTTTAAAGATTTTGGAATACAAGCATACATGCAAACGTACATGGGGTGGGGAATATGATAAGCAGTATTTGTATTTATTAAGGAGAATGCACAGAACCAGGAAAGACATTATCCTCTTGAGAGCATAATAAACCAGTTTCACATAATAATAAATGAGAAACGTTGTGTTGCGCTTACTCGATATGATGACAGTGTCGTACCAGACGTTCTCTCCTTCTTCGATCTTCTTCCTCTTCTTTTTCTTCTTCTTGTCATCCTGCGAGGACATGTTGATTCTTTCACAACAGTACGTTTGGATATTTTAAAACTTCTACTGTATGTCTCCTCGTGTATGAAGCTTGTTTGAAAAGTGAGTGTTGCACTTGCAAATACTGTATATATCAGAATCAGGATTGGGTGTCACCTACTAGTTACCCATTAAGAATTCTCTGCCTTCACTACAGGTAGATAACAAACATTCACCTTTGGAAATGCAGCAAAAAACAATACACGAGTGTTGATATGCACAGATTGTACAAGTGGCTATCATTACACACATACTGGATGCATAAGCATACAGTATATGCAATTGTAATGATGTGACATGCTGTGGTAGATATGGAAGTTGTTTAACACATTGTCAATGGGTGTGTTCCTGTCCTGTCAGTTACCACCTGCTATCAGATCCTGGAGCCTCCGCCCACAGCCCAGGGTGAAATGCATTCCAATATGGTACACCTACTTTTCCCATTTTCTACTCTTGTGATTCATTTTTTTGTCTCAACGCTTTTTTTTTTTATTGCTAAGCGGTACGTGTGATCAGAGGTCCACCAATGGGCGGTGGCCCATTTGTGGAATGCAAACTCAGTTGGCGTCTCTTGTGTTAAAAGCTCGTCGCTGGCTTTTCCTGAATCACCTGATTTTCCACCCACGCCCTTTAGAGAACCAGCAAGACATCACACCATCGTGTGACTGCAGTCACTCCAAGCTAAACTAGACAAAAGAGGTGAATACTGAAGCGGATAAGTTTTGGATTAGAGCTAATTCAAAAGCTGAAACTCTTGACAATTCACGCCTGGGGAAGGTTGATTTGCAGATCCCCTAACTTGCCAAAAGACATAATAAAAGCTCCTTTTTTAGGTTTCTAAATACGGTCAATTCAAAAGCCATTGCCGCCTAAATATTCTCATAACAGAGTGTATTGTTAGCTTTGACACTATCCTCACCTGAGGCAGTGACATAGTTGGAAGGGACTATCAATCCCCTGTGAGCTGATGGGAAATTGTTTGTGCTTGTGGCCAAGGACTTAATTTAGCAATGGTACAGGAAAGACTTGTGAAGGATTTACATAAACAAAACTGCATCGTAAAAAAACGTCACTCCGACAAGTCTCTTGAGCTCGTTTTGAAAGGAAACACGTTGGTTTCAACTGAGAGAATCCTGGATGCTGTGCATCAAGCATCACACACTTTGCAAAACAAAACATTTTCCTTGTCACGAGTGAGTCTCAGGCAGGGCTCTGTGGGTTTGAAATGCATGTTATGACAGCAATGTGTGCGTGACGTGTTAGAGCAAGACAGGAGTTGCATGGATGCAATGTCATTCTATACACCTACAGTGGGTACGGAAAGTATTCAGACCCCTTTAAATTTTTCACTATTTGTTTCATTGCAGCCATTTGCTAAAATCAAAAAAGTTCATTTTATTTCTCATTAATGTACACTCAGCACCCCATCTTGACAGAAAAAAACAGAAATGTAGAAATGTTTGCAAATTTATTAAAAAAGAAAAACTGAAATATCACATGGTCATAAGTATTCAGACCCTTTGCTGTGACACTCATATTTAACTCACATGCTGTCCATTTCTTCTGATCCTCCTTGACATGGTTCTACTCCTTCATTGGAGTCCAGCTGTGTTTAATTAAACTGATTGGACTTGATTAGGAAAGGCACACACCTGTCTATATAAGACCTTACAGCTCACAGTGCATGTCAGAGAAAATGAGAATCATGAGGTCGAAGGAACTGCCCAAGGAGCTCAGAGACAGAATTGTGGCAAGGCACAGATCTGGCCAAGGTTACAAAAGAATTTCTGCAGCACTCAAGGTTCCTAAGAGCACAGTGGCCTCCATAATCCTTAAATGGAAGAAGTTTGGGATGACCAGAACTCTTCCTAGAACCCAAAGATCACTGTGGCTGAGCTCCAGAGATGCAGTAGGGAGATGGGAGAAAGTTCCACAAAGTCAACTATCACTGCAGCCCTCCACCAGTCGGGGCTTTATGGCAGAGTGGCCCGAGGGAGGCCTCTCCTCAGTGCAAGACATATGAAAGCCCACATAGAGTTTGCCAAAAAACACATGAAGGACTCCCAGACTATGAGAAATAAGATTCTCTGGTCTGATGAGACTAAGATTGAACTTTTTGGCGTTAATTCTAAGCGGTATGTGTGGAGAAAACCAGGCACTGCTCATCACCTGCCCAATACAATCCCAACAGTGAAACATGGTGGTGGCAGCATCATGCTATGGGGGTGTTTTTCAGCTGCAGGGACAGGACGACTGGTTGCAATTGAAGGAAAGTTGAATGCGGCCAAGTACAGAGATATCCTGGAAGAAAACCTCTTCCAGAGTGCTCTGGACCTCAGACTGGGCCGAAGGTTCACCTTCCAACAAGACAATGACCCTAAGCACACAGCTAAAATAACAAAGGAGTGGCTTCGGAACAACTCTGTGACCATTCTTGACTGGCCCAGCCAGAGCCCTGACCTAAACCCAATTGAGCATCTCTGGAGAGACCTGAAAATGGCTGTCCACCAACGTTCACCATCAAACCTGACGGAACTGGAGAGGATCTGCAAGGAAGAATGGCAGAGGATCCCCAAATCCAGGTGTGAAAAACTTGTTGCATCATTCCCAAGAAGACTCATGGCTGTACTAGCTCAAAAGGGTGCTTCTACTCAATACTGAGCAAAGGGTCTGAATACGTATGACCATGTGATATTTCAGTTTTTCTTTTTTAATAAATTTCTACATTTCTGTTTTTTTCTGTCAAGATGGGGTGCTGAGTGTACATTAATGAGAAATAAAATGAACTTTTTTGATTTTAGCAAATGGCTGCAATGAAACAAAGAGTGGAAAATTTAAAGGGGTCTGAATACTTTCCGTACCCACTGTATGTGATCCTTGAGCAGCACCTATGCCATAACCGCAACTCACCTCGCTGTCACTCTCTGAAGAGCTACTGGAGGAGGAAGATGATGAGCTGGAATCCTGTTAAGAAAGAAGCAGGGAAGTTGTTGATCAACTCAATTGAACAGGTTTCTATACACGTTCCTTTGTGGGTGAAAGTGATAAATGAAAAACTAAACCAATGAGTCACTACGAACACACTGCGGCGAGGCTTAGTCGTAACCGCTGAGAGCAGGCGGTGTAGATGGCAGCAGAAGGGAGAGGCTCTTCACACACTTATAAAACTGCACAAGCAACCATTTTATCACACAGACGCACAAGAGCACACACACCCATTCCAGCAGCGCCACGAGCCAATCAAAGCAAAAGTGACAGTTGATCTGCGTTATAAACTAATTAATTCCTTTCATAGTCCTCTCCTGTTTGTCCGGCTGTTGCTAGGTGCAGGCCACATTGTACTTCCCTCGTCAGTCAGAAGACATGACTTCTGCCTCACATGTGTGGCCTACAATCAAGGCAACACCCTCAAGAAGCCGTGGGATCGACATGATTTAATCGTATTAGATATAAGGAGACTGTTGGTTGTTCAGCAGCACCGTCCCAACATAGTCTGTTTAACTTTCATTGGCGGAACATGACGAAGAGTTTTCAAGAAAACACTCAATAACATACTTTCTTCTTCTTCTTCGTCTTCTTCTTCAGCTTCTTCTTTTTCTTCTTCTTCTCGTCTTTCTTGCAGATACCCTCATCCTCGCTGTCCGAGGAGGACAGAGAGCTGTCACATGTGTGCAGCTCCTGGTGACAGAGAAAAGAATGATCTACTATGTCCCTCACACAATCTTTAGAATTCAGACTAGTGGGCATAATTACACATTAACATTACCGTTACAATTGCTAAACTTTACCTTCATGCAATTAATCATTTTGCAGTTGCCAGTGTAATTCACATGTATCTTTTTATTGTGTCATGAAATCATAACTATAACTACTGTTTTTAATGTTTCAATCAATGTTTTTAATTGTTTTTAAATCTCCTTTTCTTTTGCCTTATGTTTTGATGTTTTTGATGGTTTTATGTGAAGCACTTTGAATTGCCTTGTTGTTGAAATGTGCTATACAGATAAACTTGCCTTGCCTTACAAGTAATGAATAGTTAAGTGTCTTGAATATCTGGTGGAAAAAGTAACATCGGTCCATGCACCTTTTATTCAAATGGTTGTTCTGTGCTTTTAAAATGCCGCTGCTGCTCACCTTTCCATCTTTTTCTCCTGCAGACTGTCCAGGTTGGCTCTTGTTTCCCTCCACCTTGTCCAGGTCTTCAGGCTCCACTACCTCAGCAAGGGGCTGCAAACCACCAGGAGAGACGGCCGCTGGCTGCTGCACACATGCAGCGCCTGCTCCAACTGGAGCTACACAGTACAGGGTGACCGTTTTTACATTTAGAATCCTATTAGCTCAGCTGATGAGCCACCAGTATCATTATGGAGGATCAGCTGTTGTAGCAACCTGCACTTCCTTATTGTCCAACTTACTTAAACGGACTGTCAGATTTAAAAAATCAATCATAAAGGTGATGAATTAAAGAAATAGTTCCTTTTTCCGTAAATCCAGCCAATTGCCTAACTATTAAAACAATCCAGAAAGCGCCACACCCTAACAGTAAAAGGAAAGACGACAAGGTGTTCTGTTTTGTGTAAATAGACTATATCTGTCATAGAAACACCTTTATCATAAAAAAGCAACACATGGATCATTAGCTTTCTTGCTGAAATGAAAGAGACTAGCCACAATCAAATTAAATACACACTTTGCAAACGAAGTAGATTGCTAAGAAACAACTAATAATAAAAAGACAGCACACCTTTGAGCAGGGGGGACTCCATTATGGTCCAGACCTCTCCTCTGTCAAGGGACCCACGTCTGGTCTGTCGAACCTACCTGTGCACTTTTATGGCAAGTGTGTACATGACGCTTGAGAGTTCTATGGGTGGGGACGTGTCAAGACGTCCAAAATCAAAGAGACTTCCCTTCACAAGTTTCAAAATAAAACCCACATTGAAATACAAGGTTTAACATTACCATGTATGTACCCCTTATAGGCTATATCGAATGGGCCAGCTCAAATGTCATTATCCAGTTCTCTGAGACGTAACTGCTGACAGATTGTACGCTTTTATTTTTATAGGCTATTTTTATGCAGCGGCTTTTATTTTGAAAGCAACAACGTTTTACACCCAGGCCCTGCTTGGTGTTGTAAACATCCTTCCTTGCTCTTACACTTCTGACAGGTACTACTTCTGTAGTTGCACTCCAATGGGCTGGGCCTGTCAGTGTACTAAGGCACTGAGTGATTCATCAAAGGGCTCCTCAGGCACTGCTGTTAGGTCACCATTAGACAACAAATACTCTCTCTGACTTGTTGGCCCTGTGGTTGGTTTACCTCAAGCTGTATAAAGAGAGTTGCGTCAACGAAAGTTCAAAATGCTTGATCGCCACGCCATTCACGTAGACTTCAGATAGTTCCAGGAAGTACATGGCGCGCAATTTGAATGCGTAGATATTGGTAGAAATCAGTACAGAGAGACAGAACTGCGATTTTCGCTAATTAGGAGTCAATAAATTAACTGATTTACAATATCCATATAGAGCAACAACACATGTATTAAGTTACATGAATTATGTGATTTTTAAAAGTTAAATTTGCTAAGAATTTGTGGAATAGTAAGTGTGACATCTAGAGCTCCCTGCCTTGTTGACAAGGAACAGTGTGTACGATTTTGGAAGACTCCATGGAAGAGGACCCGCTCCCTATTTAGATATAATATCATATTTAGCGATGGCAACGGCGGCGTATGTACATGCTGCAGCCGGTAGCTCCCAGGAATTTCTTCATGAATTGTTTTTGTTGGTGCAAATTCAGAAAACGCGCTACATCAATGTTCTACTGTTTATGGATGGTTTGTCATGTTTGTTGTGATATAAATGGGCTACAACAGAATTTCGTTGTGCATCCCTGTGTTGCATAATGACAATTAATGATCCTTGAATAAATGGCTTTATCGACTTTAGTTTCAGGTCATTATACAATAATAAAAACATGGTTATAAATATCATATTTCATTTCAGCCAATTAATCCCCCTAAATGTTACACACTGTTCCTTTAATGGAATAGTAAGAATCTGTGTAGTATATAAATATTACAATTGTAAATATTGATGTGCAAATGAGTTGAAATTGACTATTATTTATTATGTTTAACAGTTAATTGTTTTATTAATTTATTGGCGGTATGTCACGTGTTTTGATGTAAATATATTGGAGTGGCTGTAATGGCGCTATTGTAACTGTCTTATATACTTTACATGGGGTTAATGTAAAGACTATTTGTCATTAATACACTTTATATTCTAATACGGATCACAGGAAGAGTATCGGTGTCACAGTCGTTATACATTTCAGACTGCACCTCACAAGCGAACATTGTGACCACAGCATGATTTAAAAAACAATGACATCAATACTTACAGTACATCCACAGGTAAATGTTACCTCATCAGGACAGGGGGCTGGACACACGTTGCAAGTGAATTTGGCACAGATGAACCGGTTACATCATGGCATTTCCTGCACTTCCGGGTTCAGGGCGGGGGGGGGGGGTCTCGCAAGACTTCAGGGGCTCAAGCATCTTGGAAGAAGATCTAGAAAGAAGGGGGTTGACCTCTAATGATGTAGGGGTGTTGTTACCTGGGTAAACTTAGAACAGAATCAGAACCAAGACTTTTTTCAGTACAATCTCATTACTCTAGCAAATGTCCTAGTGGCGCGACAATCAGGAGGAAAGCTCTGCTGCCGTCCCTCGAGAACATGACACAGCACTCAGGGAGGAATGTGAAAGCTCTTACAGTGACATCTGCTGTTTCCTAGCAAAATAAACTTTGTTGCAAAGATGCATAACATTTTGAGCAACAGTACCGATCTTGGAGAAAAGCTGGGAATATAAAGTACGGAACGGACAGGTTCCTTTGTGAACAGTGTGTGGAGAACCAATCGGGCTACCGGGATCTGGATGCCAGTTGGCTGTTCGCTGAATTGGGCTGATCCTCATCAGTCCGAAGTTGCCGGACCGAGTCGCTCAATTCTTGAAGTTCACTGTTCATGATTGAAGTGACAAAGAGAGTGAGTACAAGTCTATGCAGCACTCCAGCTTAGCAGGGAGGAACTAAGGCAAGTCCGCTTCAATATCCTGCAGATGTGCACACTGCAGTTTTGTTTCAGCCAATAAGGAAAAAAATGAATAAAACAATAGAAATACTATAAATGAAAAAATAAAAATTATACGATTGGAAGTCGGAAAACAGAAGGAGAGAGAAGTATCTCCCAAGAGTGCAAGATTTACAAAAAAATACAAGTAAAAACAAGCACACCATTTTAATTAGACAATTACTAAGCTATTAAACAGTTTCAATATATCAGTTCATAAAATACTATTTTAATGGTACAATGGTAGTAAAAATGAAAGATGGTGATAGAGGGATTACTCACCGTGCACGTGCCCTGCAAACTGAAGAAGAAAATGTAAAATTATAAAATAGTGCAAAAAACACCTAACACACACAATTATGGGACAGAGTGAGGTGCACGTGAGAGCCTGCTCACCACTGAACCCTCAATGGCCACTCGCGGCCCCTGTAGTCTGTGATCCTCATACAAGAAAATATGATCAGTTCACAAGATCCACAGAATCACGAAGTACCATCAGAATAAGCAGTACACTCTCCCAGGAGTGTCGTCTTCTTCTTATTCTTCTTCTCCATCGATGCATCGCAACGTGTGTTCTATTGCTCTTTGATAATATAACCAATACATTGACGGGGAGGTGGGAGGTGCTACCGCGTCTGCATGGGGCTACGGTGGCTGGGAGGGGTTTTGACTAAATCAGGGCTGGATTAACCCACCAGGGGGACTCGTGGCTAAACTGAGCTATAGGCCCCTTGACCAGGCAGACTTCTGTTGTGCTTATAGACTGTACATTATGACTTTGTACAGGTTTTTATACTTGCAATATTACATTGTCTCCCATGTTGAACGTTCTAACTGGCCCCTCGGTAAGATGGGGTCTCTAATGCAGAGGATTTGTTGCCTTAATGCTTTATTAATGCAGAGAGTATTCACAAACTTGCAATGAATTTAATGATCACAACCAGGTAAGCCTGGAGCCTTTGGGCCCCCACAGGGTTTGGGGCCCCAGGGCAAGTGTCAGCTATTGTTTGAAGTGGGTAGCAGATAGGAAAGTTGTTGCTTTGACCTGTAGTGATCATGTACCTACAAGAGTTAGAGAGAACACTGATTTAATTTAAATCTTATGGTACTGATGTGTGGCCCCCACTGGATGTAACAGTTATATAGAGAACGGTCACCCCTCAGAGGATATGCAGAGTTGAAACCGCAGGGTACTATCATAGACATGTGTAACAGACGAGTAGTACACCACTTCGATTTTCCATTTATTTTAAGCTTCCGTAGTATAACATATGAGTTCAGTTACCCAGAAACAATAGAGTCAGCGCAATTCCGGAAATGGGATTTTGTTTTCAAAATAAAATCAAGGATATTGCAATTCAATTAAAACATATTTAAGAACAAACACTGGCTCGCACGTGGCTATTATAAATCATATGAAACACTTACTCACTACATGTAGAATCAGATGAATATAAAATACAAACATGGGCTTGTGAAGTCGATACAAGACGACAAAGCGATTAGCGTTAGTTATATTTTGAAACGTATAAGGAAACGCTATCGTTTAACGATGTGAACAACTTGACATCTGTGTAGACTACGGCTGGCGAGTGGCAAAGTAGTTATGGAAGTACACAGCAGTTTTTATTACCCTTTTCGCGTTAACTAACCGAGCTTTATCTTATTGTTTTAACTTTCTAATGCAACGTAGAATAACGAGCTAACTTTAGCTTGACTTAAAGAAGACAACGGACACGCGACACTGCGGGACGGTTACCGTTTTAACCAACGTTCGGCTCCTCTGTTATGGGACTTTGTCAAAAGAACATTTGTTATGGAAATATGAACGGTCAGTTCCTTGTCACTCTGTTACTAGCCGACCAAAGAGGAGCTGTGACAGCTATCTAAACATGCGTCTGGTCACACCTGAATGAACCATGTCGACGGTGACGGTGCTGGCCGCGTTGTGGGTCAGTTTGGTTCGGTGCAGTGTCTCCTCCGGGTCTCCGGGACCCGGATGTGACAATGGAAAGGTAACTTACAATTTAATACCTGTTGAGTTTATTAGTGTTTGAGCCATGGTCACCCACTGGTTTGAAAATATCAGTCATTGTAGGCGTTAAACATGTAATCAATTGTGTGTGTGTGTGTGTGTGTGTGTGTGTGTGTGTGTGTGTGTGTGTCATAGCTGTATTTGGAGAGGGACATGCCTCCGAATGCTCTTTATTGGGACTGTCCAGGGACTATATGGCCAGAATCTATTCGGGTAATTATGGATATAACCGACCACCTCCTCCTCATCATCATCATCATCATCATCATCATCATCATCATCATCATCATCTGTGCTAGTAGCATTATCTCCCAAAGGATCAATGTCTCACACGGGTGTGGCTTCCTTCAGTGTACTGTGTACCAGGAAGTTTTAACAATCATGAGAGAAGTAATTGTTGTGGTAGATCCTGTAATCTGACACTCAGTCGGTAGTGTAAACCTGCTTTGCTTGTTCATGTTTGCTCCGTCAGTGTTTTAACCGTGTCTTCTCTTATCTACAGAGACTTCCCAGTATTGACACAGTGTATGATCCTGTGGTGAGTAAACACTTGTCCAAACACTTTGTTTCACCCTTGGCCTTAAAACACTACGTAACATTTCCTAAAAACATCAATGCACAATGGGACAACACTTTGTGACACATCCAAATTCCAAAAGCTGTTTTCAACTTAACAGTGATGTATTGAAATGTGTTCACTGAGATAACTTAAACTTGTTATTGTTGTCAACAGCAAACTTGCACAAACTGAACGGCCGCTAACTCAGTGTTGGTCTCAGGTGACTGCGAGTGTTCATAGTGAACCTGAGAGTCTAATTTGGCTAATTTCTTTTCACCGCAGCCAGCCAGGCAGCTCTGCATGGATACATCTATTTCCTACAACCAAAGCATTCCCAGCAGGTAAGGCTGTTTAGACAGACACATGATGCAAATTAAGAGACACTGACACATGCACACACACGTATTAATATATGGACACCTTTACTCACAGAAAAACTCATGACAGTGTTTTTAATGTCCTTTTCTGCTCTTAGTTGCTGTGCTTTGTATTCGTTGTCGTGCCTCTGAGGGCTATTGAGGACGATGTGTGTCTGTATTTGTGTGTTATAGTGGAGCGTACAGACCGGTGAGGGCAGAGAGTGGAGAATACTTGTACTGTCCTCCTCAACGGTGGCTCAATAACTTGCACGTAAGTCTCAACATCAAACACGTCTTGGTTGTTCTGTCTCCACTCTCTCAATAGCTGAGTCACTTTGTCTGCTTAGTAAATTATTAGGGTTTTGGGTTTTGCGCAACGCTGAAGAGACCGCTTTTTGTAGTAACTCCAATTTGCCCACAGTCCCTTCTGTATTATTTCCCGATCTAGAAATCAGTTTTAGCCAGAAATGCATCAAGACACAATCGATGTATTGTTTCTTTGCAAATTCAATTAAGAGTAATACGGGGAAGTCTGCCAACACTCACATTCTACATGTTCAGACCCTCGGTAGCAGGGCTGCCACTGAAAGTAGATTGTTTTGAATTTCAAGGATTTAACACACAGTAATGTCATGCCAGGGATTTCTATTAATGAGCCATTGTAGACCACAATGCCAGAGCATACTGGTGATCACAGCAGGTTGAACACATTTAACCCAGACGGATATTTGTCAGCTGAAAAACCATAATTAACAGACAAGGAGGGAATACAATATTGACATTATTGTGAGCAGAAGTTACTGTGTTGTAATTGTGACATAAATGTTGGTGAAAACCAAATCGGGGGAAACCCCGTGGTGACCGTGAAGGCTGGTGACAAAAGACCATCACATGTGTGCGTTTGTGTCTGTGTGTGTTTACCAGCATGGAGCGACTGTGCTGCTCTACCATCCCTGTGTTCCTCTCCACGAGCGCCTGCTTCTGTCTGTCCTGGCCCGCTCCTGTCTGTCAGACTACATCGTTAGCGCACTTCCACAGCTCAAAGAACACATGGTGAGAAGATAGAACTCACTACCGGTGCGTGAGAGATACTTAAACACCGCTGTTTGAGGAGCAGCAGCAACAGAAGCGACTTTTTCGTCCCAGTTAACATTTGTTAGGACATTGAGTTAAAGAGAGTGAGTGGATCCTCACTGTTTGCTTTGTGTTCAGCCCATAGCCCTCGTGTCGTGGGGTCACACCTTGGAGCTGTCCACCACGTGGTCTTCAGACATCTATGATTGGCTGGAGACCACAGCATCCACGAGGAAGTTGTTTGTTGGTGTGAACCCGAGCAGGAAGTTCAACCTGCTGCTAACCCGGTCAGCTGAGCAGCACCGGCAGCAACGTGCAAATCCAGAGGAACAGGTTAGCAGAGTCTGCGTGTTTATTTACACGGTGTGAATAATCATTCATGTTGAATGTGCTCCAATAACAGCAGTCTTGTAGATGTCTCTTAAGTAGCTGTTGTGGTAAATCCCCAGGAGTCTTTGAGGCGATGCTTTGAACGGACCATCTCCTCTCAGCTGAATGGAGCGATGGAGAAAGTGCTGCAGTCCAACATAAAGAGTCGAAGCTGGAAACTAATTAAAGAGGGCGGCAAACGCAGGCGGTTAAGAGCCGCCATTACAGAAATACAGGAGAATGGTAAGGAAGAGAAGGAGAGAGAAGACACGATAACACACCAGAGCAACAGAACCACCATCAGCAGGACAGGGGCCATCCAGAACAACAACTTCACGGTTGGGCCATCGACAGATTCTCCTCCAGGGAGCAGGACTCTCCCAGATCCTCCAGGTTCCAAGGAAGCTCCCTCTCAGTCTAAGATCCAAAACACAAATCAGGGCCTTCCATCCAGGCCCACAACTCCTTTGGGGTCACTACAAACAGCAGCACAGCAGCCGAAACACACTGACCTCAGAGACCCTCTCGCAGGTGTCGTGAACAGGGAACAAAACCAGACTGCCAGGGCTGATGCCCCGGCCCTCAGCTCCAAAGATGAAGGTACAGACTCAGTCAAACAGAGAGACAAAGACTTTGGTAAACACAGCCTGAAAGGTAATGTCTCTAAAGCGAACATCTACGATAAACACAACACAGCAGACGGCACCAGGAAGGGTAATGAAGTAGTAGACGTGAAAGAGAGAGAGTTGGAACGTAACCAAACACACAGTGACACACACTCTGATCACAAAGGTGAAAAAATGGGCTTTGATTCCGTTTCCAAACCCCAATCAGAGCCTCAGCCCCAGAAGCCACAGCTGGCCAGTCACCCGCCCAACAGCCTCGACTGTGCCGGCTGCAAAGCGGGCGAACACTGTGAATGCAACAAAGACTCGGGGGCCTCGGACGCTGTAGATACCGGGTCGCTGAGGACCCCGAGGACAGACGAGGCGGTGTGGGCCGCAGCAGCGCTGAGCTTCCTGCTGATCCTCCTGACCCTGTCAGTGCTTCACACACGCCTGTACCGCCACTGGAGGAACACGCCCAGTCTGTACTGGCGGGACCCGCAGCTGGACTACGACAGTGTGGCAGGTAGGTGGACCAATAACCAGAGAGCTGTTTTAATCCTCTGACCAATCCCAGTTTGATCATGTTAGGTTACCCAATCAGTTATTAATTAAGTTTTTGTGTTCTGTGTGTGTGTGTGTGTGTGTGTGTGTGTCCTCTAGATGTGATCCGCAGGAGGTTACGAATTGCAAACAAGAGGCACAAAAGGAGCAGAAGACGGGAGTGTGTTCTTCTGCCCAGCTCCTCCAGCTCAGATGAACATCCATAGAACAATGAAGGATCACAGCATGAAGAGAGGACGATATCTGCAACAGCCTCTCTGTCAATGACAAACACTGAAACTCATTAGTAGGGCAGCTGACATTGGAAAAAAAGGTAATTCATAAAGCTAGCTATTTTTATATCTAAATGTGCTAAAACTGACGTTACCTGACGTTACAATACCTGAATATGTTAAGTTTGGATTCATAATGATGGGTGAGGGATAGCAGAATATCATGTATTTTGGTCATTACAGCTGACGTTGGCATTACACATATTTAGAGCCCAGTTTTCTTTTCGTCTCCTTTTTCTTTGGGAAGGTGGTCTTAGGAATTTCTTTAACAATCAGAAGTGGGCCTGGAGTTAGAAAAGGTTGAGAACCCCTCACATGCAATGTGCTGGATGTGTGCCTGTATGCTGTTTGTCTGACAGCTGGATGAACCACCTCTATCTAACAAGCTGCAGGATAACCTGAAAGCTGAAGCAGAATTTCCACATAGCTGCTCAAGGGTCAGTTAGGTCCTGAATTAAATGGTATAGAGCGATCTGAAACAGAACCCTTCACATGTGGTTTTAGACTGGGACCATCTCTATATCTACCCCTCCTCTCTTATTAACGAATTGAGTTTGCATGTCATGGATGTAGTTGTCCAAAACTGCATTCCCCAAATCACAAGCGTCAAAGAATATTTAAGAAAAGAGGCTAGTGTATATCGATGTCAGCTTACACAACCGTCATCAGTCATGTGGTTGTGGATCAGTCCTTTGACCCCTCAGGACGATAAATATTACATCAAAGAAGCCTTTAGGTTTTATTTAGTCATTTGAAATGTGTATTTGTACATCATATAGTACATACTCCTTATTTTGCTCACTCCGTGTATTACTACAATATTTAGTCTCCAGCTCTGGTGACAGTTTTTCTATCAGAGGATCATTTATTTTGTGCTACATTTTGCTAGAATTTAGTTTTATATTCATAGTTAAATAATAATATGTTGCTTTTACCTGTGAAGGTTTATTAAGTGAATATGTAAGTTGCTGTTGTAAGCAACGCTGTGCGCAGTGTGTGTGTTGTCGTTAAATGGTACGAACATATGAACAGCTGTGTTTTGAAGACGGTTTTTGGACAGACTTTAGAGAGACGATAAATTCCTCGGCTGAAATGCTGTGTGTGCACTTCTGTTTGAAACAGCTGTTGGATGTCAGGAGGCCTTCTGATACCCGTTTGTGTCGTCTTAAATGTGTCATTTTAAGGAGTTGTGACGAAGATATGCACTGATCAGGACCGTATATACAATAACAACATCATTTGTTTGAAGACCAACATGTAATACGGTTTCTAGATGCTGTGGTGGGTTGTCGTGGTCATATTGTAACTACATACTTCCCCCCCCCCCCCGAGAGGTTTCCAGCTGCTTTCTCTGGAGCTCGTTAATGGAAATAAAATCTGTGGAACCAACAGTGGCTGGATTGTCTTCATTAGGAAACAGAGCGCTCAGTGTAGAACCAGCTCAACTAAATAAAAGAATAAATTAACTGTAATGGTAGAAATGTGAACAATAATCGAGGGGCCTAAATGAATAAAAAGTAACAAATAATAATACAAATGTGGCTTAATGTCATCAACATGGAATGAAAAACATTTGAAGTATGAACATAAAATGTGAGTAAAAACAATGTAGGTTAATGGCACGGAATAAAGAAAACCTTTAATAATAAAGGCATCAGGAAGTAAAACGATGCAAACAAAGCTTCCAGTTTATAAAAGCATTGCTTGTTTTGATCTTTTACTGATTTGATTAATACTTCATTCTCTCCCGTTAATACTGAAAGGTTTGGGGTCTCATCTTCACTCAAACTGTCCTTCACACATTACGGATGTAAATACACACTTGTCCTTATGAGACGGAGCATCCATACAGTAAGAAGAAAATGTGTAAACAGATCCAGGACAATTGACTTGTTTTACTATTTTATTACAAATGTACAGCTTATGAGTTTCCATTACGTTTGACCTCTTTAAGTCATTGTTTCATCTACTTTATACAGTTTTTAACGTCTTCTGTTAAAAGATAACTCTTCCGTCGCCCATCTCCCAAAGTGTAGAGCTGTGAAGAAACACAGGGACAGCAACAGTACAGGCCACAGTGCACTGCCAATGGCTGCGTGTCACAAGTGTGTGTGTGTGTGTGTGTGTGTGTGTGTGTGTGATTCACTGGCTGCAGACTTAATGTTTGTACTTTGTAGAAGGCTTGGTCCAACTGAGAAGTTGAGAGTGTGTGTTTGTGACGTTGTAGAGTATGCGCTGAGTCCTGGACATGATGACGGTGTAGAACGTGTGTTGGACATGAACTGGCGGAGGCCTTAGACATTCATACTAGAGGCACCCTATGTAGTGTCAACTAACTCGGGGAAAGGACTGGGCCATGTGCATTGTTGACCCTCCTCCCGACATTTTTGAGATGACCGTATAGTGCTAAGCCGAAGTGCGCTTCAGACCTTTCCTATTGCCCCATCCCGAATCAAACCCTGCGTCCTGCACCCAATGTACTTGAACAAAGACCTTGGGGGGGGGGGGGAAGTGCGGTACATAATGTAGATCCTACTTCACCCCGCTGGTGTTTGACAATAGAACTGTTGTTCCCGCTCTTCGGTAGGATCGCTACTATGTACACTATAACTACATAAGGGGCTAATACCACAGCATGACCGTATTCACGAGACTCAAAATACCTACGAGTACATTGGTGTCAAGACTGAAGCGCTGAAGGAAGAATTTGGACAGCTCCCGTAGCCTGAAGCCCACTTGGGCCAACAAATAAGACATAAATATCTCGCAGACATACCTAACATATAGCTTAATATAAAATATAGCATGAAAATATATGTTCATATATATGGCTCTAGTCTAAAACTTGGGCAATCATGATTGAAGGGGCGAGCACTGCTGCTGGCCCCCCTTGTGTGTGTGTGTGTGTAAGTATCTCTGTTGTTTCAGCAGTCAGTACAACATCACTCTAACTCAGCCAGGAGCTGATGATGATGTCCAAAAGGCAACCGATATCAAACGATGATACATGTCACGAGTCTTCTGGACACGATTTGTTTCGACAGGGTACAGAAGAAAAACAATCCATCCTTCCCTACAGAGACGCGTGCGACTGTGTGAGAGGCTGACGAACACGGACACTCACAGACCCCGAGTGATGATAAGAGGGCGGAGTGGATAAACTAGACACGAATAGAGCGAACAGGGAGGTGCTGCCGGTGGTCTAGCGTCCGTCTCTCAAAGTGTTCGGGGCTAATTAAGGTCTAATTGCTTCTTGCTGAAAGGCAGCAGTACGAGAGGAAAAGACTGAGATGTAACAGCTGTTTGGAGGATGAGGTCAATGTTATGTGCAGAGGCCTTCTGAGCACCAAGCCGGATTATAGAATACACCAACGCGAGAACAACCAACTATTAAAGCCACAAAGACTTTGACAAACAGTCAGTGGTGACGGTAAACTAGAAGAGGACGGTCCTCCTGCCAGCAAGGAGAGAATCTTTAGATCCCGTCTGCGTATTTTGTTACAGATGTGACCTTATTTGTTCAGGACACAGTACAACAAGCGAAGGGGAAGAGCGCTCTCTTTTTGAAAACACACAACAAAAAAAAAAAAAGAACTTTAAAAACATCTTTGTTCCCAATGCCGTCTCCCATTGGCAGAGTTCAGAGATGGTGAGCTAGAAGGGACAACTTCTGTGGCCCAGATCAGCAGGCCGTGACGGAGAACAGAGCGGTGTGATTCTGCTTGCCAGACAGTCTGAGAACTGAACATAATACACGCCAAACTACATCAAGCACTCATGAGCTGGTTAAAACCATTTCAAATGAGTTTTTTTTTCTCAGATGAAACGATGTAATGAGTATCTATCATCACTTTTCAGGGTGCTGGATCTGGTGCTTTCCACAGGACTACTTAAACTGCAAACATACCAGGATGTGCTTCAATGTGACGTTTGGGGGTGGGGGGGTGGGGGGGGGACCAAATATCATCCTGCTTGGCACAGCAAAAATGAATATGGGATTGATTCTGAGATGATTCCACTGGCTCTGTTAAATGAGGCAATTGATACGATACGTCAGGACCTAACGACAGTTGAGGACACATGAGGAGAGCATTTTGATCCGGGGGCCTGTCATAACGCACCAAGGGGCTTTCGGTCTGACAGAAAATCAAAAACAAAAACAAATCTCCCTCCAACACCCTCTCCCCTTTTGGCAACCGTTCAACCCCTTGGCCACAGGACACCTCGCGTCATGAAGAAACACCCTCAACTGTGTGTGTGTGTGTGTGTGTTTTCTTGAATCCCAGTCGAGCACATACTCCCACCACTAAATGAGAATCATATTTGAAACAATAAAATAAACATACATACACAGTTAAATCAAGATGACAGTAAAAATATCAATACAAAAAAAAATAAAAACAATAGGCATGATAAACGACAACAATAATTCAAAATTATTCCAGTGTAAGTGTTTTGTTTGTGTCAGTAATCATCGTCCTCAGAGGTGCAGACCAAACCAATCTGCGTATTAAAAAACATCAAAGAAAAAAGAAGAGAGGAAAGGAATTAAAACATGCCAGATCATGCTGTGTACCACCGACAGTAGGGGGCACTGGGTCGGAGAAATGCTGGAGCCCCCCCCCCCCCTCCAGCAAAAAGCTAACCCAGGAGGAAGCATCTTGAGAGCCTGAGTGGGGTGATGAGTAGGGTGGAGCCGGATGGGTCCCAGGGGGTCTTTTCTCTGCACCGCAAGCGCATCCTGTCTGGGACGGGGTAGGAGACGGAGGAGCCTCGTGTCGGGTTGGAGTGAGAGCGAGAGAGAGGGGGGGGGGGGGAGGAAGGAGAGAATGTCCCAACTCCACCTGATGGAGGGATGGAGATGATGTGGCGTAGCTTGCGGTAGGTCGATACCTACTTCCCTCTCTCGCAGCATACACTCCCTCACTCTCTAGCTCAGGTAAACGGGGGGGGGGGGGGTGTAAGAATAAATAAAGCGGTAACATCTCCGGATCCAGTTCACTGCACATCGCCGTCGTTGTGTTTTTCACGTATGCTTGTCACAGTTTTTAGCGGTTAATTATACACATCTGATTCCAACAGTTTCTTTAGCTTGCAGCAGGCTGTGGGACCCTTCTACTTGTCCTTCCCTACTTTCTCTTCCACACTTGTGGATTTTCTCCTCCGGTCCTCTGTAGTGTTTCTACTAAACATCAATTCTCTTTGCTTTCATCCGATTCCTTTCCCATGCATATTACAAACTTCTTCTTTCTTCATTGCGCCCATCGTTCTCCCGGTTACTCCCCCTCCCTCTTTCTAACATCTACAGTGTGATCAGGTTTTCCCTCCGTCTCCCCGCTTCCTGCTGTAGAAGCCCCTCCCATCCCTCTTGGCCCACCCATGCATTAATCAGTTCCCTCTCCCCTCTCCATCCATGCATTTGTTGGGTCACTGTTTCTTCTCTCGAGTGGTGATGGTGACCAGTTGCTTGGCAGCCTTGGCGATGTCATAGGCGCACTGGATGACCTGCTGAGTGAGGAGTTGGTAGTCCACCGCGGGGCCCCCGGGCTCCGAGGGCGCCGCCTTGCGGCACTCCACCTGCAACCGCGAGGCACTGGACGCCAACAAGCGGAGGGAGCAGTGCACTGCATCCAACGCCGGGCGCTACGGAGGAATGAAGGGAATCAAAACTCAACTCACATAGTGTAAACAGATCAAGACAGATGAGGAGAGACACACCGAGACAACGAGAGGATAGAGACACACGAAGAACAGAAATACGGGGAACTTACTTTGGGGAAGAGTGAGGCCATCTCAGTGACAGCTGAGTGGATCTTCTCAGAGCACGGAACAAAGCTAAAGAGGAGAGAATTGACTTTATTTAGCTTAGTAGCTGATGAGCTGAAAGAGGCAACAAGGTTGTCTGGTACTAAATGATGCTTTGAACTATTACAGACATTTTTATATACGTCCAAAGTACAACCACAACATGAGTGCACAACTCCCTCAACAGTGGCTATCGCAACACTAACAACTGCATTCACCTGGTGCAGCTGTTAGTGAGTGTGTACAAGAGAATTTCTGAAAAGATGATTCTGGCTCTAGATGTTCCTGTGACTTCCCAATGTGTTATCCAATCAATATGTTTTTAGTGTCACGTTTTTCCCCCTCTCTGGGTAGTCTTACCTGTCGTGTTTGAACTCCTGAGCAGCCCTGAGCAGCTCCTGGATGTTCTTGGTCACCTGCTCAGTCTTCAGTATGACGTCCTCTGTGCAGGGCAAGGTGGGGTCCGGCTCCCAGGCGTCCCCTCCTCCCTCCTCAGTGTCCCCACGACCTTCCTCCTCACTGCTGCGGCCCATACTGACGAGAGAGACACATAAATACACCTTAATCAACACCTTGTAATAAAGCCGTCACAGAGGACATTAACCACCCTGAAACACTGGAAGAGTCCAACATCTTAAGAGACAAACTGTTGTTTTCTCATTAACGACTGATAGTAAAGATCATTAACCCTCTCTGTGTGTGGGCCGAATTTACAGGACTGCATAGTAACAACACACAAACATGGAGCAAATAAAGTGAAATGTACATTTTCAGAATGATTGTAAAGGTGAATTAATGACAAAATGTTTAGATTAACATAGATAATGCCATTCCCGTTAGCAGATACGTAACAATAGTGTCTGCAGAGAACCTGCCCTCTGCCTGCATTTTCTTATTTTGCAGAGTTTGGGACATTTCTGGACGTCAGTCTTTGGACACAGTAGCCGTGAAAAAAACAGCATAAATAGCAAAACGCCAAGTGGACAAAGCGTTTTCAAAACCAGAGTAAATCTGGGGTTGACTTTCACTATCGCTGTCACATGTGATGCTGCAGGTGGTGCAATGAGCTGTCAGGGGGCATGCTTCTCTGGGGGGGGAGGAGGGGCCCCAACTTTGACTGTTATTAGCAATTTATTACACATTTATTACATTTCCCAAAAAGAATCACAGAATAAAACACACTCATCAATGACTTGCAGTGTGTGTCTGACCTTAGCGAGAGGTCGTATGTCTGTGTGTTGTCGTAGTCGCTGTCAGTGCCACTGCCGTGCTTCTCTGATTTCGTCACCTGAGGAAAGAAACAGAGCAACAACACGCTCCATCAGGGCAATTATCAGCCACCTCACCAAACCTCCTGAACCGTTCACTCCTGCAGAGCTCAACGAATAACTCCTCCCACAAAGTTCAAGCATTCGTTTCCAGTGAATGTGATGATTTCAACAAGAAGTCCACTAAGTTGTGTACATTTTAAAAAGTTGTGTCAAATCATCGGTTTGAATATTCTTTTATGAAATGCAAATAATTTGGGGATGTTTACATTTGAAGCCCAATTTGGATGATGAAGTTTGCTGTAATAAAAAATCCAATATTCCAAGCTTTGCAGTGTCTGTAGGAGACGGATTTTGACACAAAATTGTAAATCATATGTCTAGAAACCAAGCCGGTAGAACTCACCATGTATCGGCCCATCTCTGTAGATCCAGACAGATGATGGCCTCCATACGGCGCTGTACCACCCTTCCGTGCCTGTGAAAAGGAGGGGAACACACGGACGGGGAGAGGAAGAGAGAGGTGGAGGGATAAAGATAAGAGGAGAAAGAGAGATGTGTGGATGAAGAGACGGGAGAAGGGAATGAAAGATCAGCAGACAGAGATGGATGAAGAAACGGGGGGGGGGGGGAATAAAGAGTGAGGGGACAGAGAGAAGAGATGCTTTTATAAACAGCAGAAAAAACAAGATGAATGAGCCAGTAAGAGCTGCAGCAGATCAACTTGGCAGCTCACCCATCATCCCCTCAAGACCGCATGCCTCTATAGTTATCTAACACTGAAATGCAAAGAACACTGTCAACTAAACTAGCTGGTGAGGAAGGACTGCACACATCACGTCTAAAATGGACTACACACATACTAACGTTGATCTCCATTATGATAATGCATAATGAGCAGCAGTGGGGCACAGTTGCATGTGAGAGAATCCTATTATACTATTCGATGAAATGGCAAACAATGCAATGACAGAGAGAATGCTTACATCCAGAGGATGCACGGCTGCACTGCAGTGAGCAAAGGGACAGACAGGTGAAGAGACAGACAGACAGACAGAAAGGAAACAGACAAACAGGTAAATCTTGGTGTACGGAGATGGAGACTCGGACACGACTCCATGGAGGTCTCCCTAGAATGGCTGACAGATGTGGTTGAGTGTCTGCATCCTGTAGCTTTCTGTTAGTTAAATGCTGCCGAATGCTATAACTGGTCAAATGTCCTTCCCTTTGTGTGTGTGTGTGTGTGTGTGTGTGTGTGTGTGCACTCACATGTGTGTGAACAAAGCAAAGCCTGAATAAATTAAGCAGCTGTCCAGAAGCAGGAGCACTAACTGGGAGGTGAAAAAGGGTTGAGAAGGTGAAGATCAGAGGGTAACGAGGAGGCCGGAGAGCGGAGGAATCAGAGGCATCCCCAGGCAACCAATCAGAGAGCATAACCCCTATTTCCCATCTTTCTCCTTCACGCCACAGTTATGCACTTCACCCTTCATGGTGCTACAAATCAGAGGCCGAGGTCTTATTGTTATTAGATAAACTTCACATTTAAATGGGGTTCAAGCGCAACTGGGCCTGTTAAAGAGAAGGATCGGGAACTGAGATGCAGGGAGGGGTAAAGTCGAACGGAAATAGAGAGATCAGGAATGGACTGTGACCCGTCAATCAGGCCGGAGAGAGCCAATCACGGCCACCGAAAGGAAGGTGGGAAGTAGAAGGGGGCCGGGGGAGTTCTAACTTACGTTGGCTGTGTTGAGGGGCTGCAGGCGGGCTGCCAGGGAGTCCAGGACTGGAGGACCATGGGCCGTGGGGCCGGGGGCCGCCCCCGGCTCGTACATTGAGAAGGCCTGGCGGTCCCTTCGGTGGGGATGGGAGTTGGGGGCGACCGAGGAGGGAGCCGACAGCCCCGGGGGGTCCACTCCTGTCCCGAACCCACTCAGGCCCCCTCCGCCTATTCCTCCTCTCATCCCGCCCCCATGCCAGTGGCCTCCTCCGCCCCCCCCTCCTCCTCCGCCAGGTCCCCCTACCCCATGGCCAGCTGGCCCCCCAGCCTGCTGGCCCCCCCGCAGCGCACTGTTCTCTGTCTGCATCCGCGTGATCTACAGGAGAGGAGGAAGGGAGCAGGGAGGGAATGAGAGGATGGAGGGAGGGATGGAGGGAGGGACATGGGGAGGTTGAAGGGAAGGGAGGAGGCGTCAACTGAATGGTCAAAGACAAGCATCCAAAATCACAGGTACAGTAAAAGGCTCACACAAGCTCATACATGTTAACTCACATCAGCACCGGGGAGGGAGGGAATATGTAGTAAAGACACTTAAATAGGTTACATGTCGAAGTAGGGATTCGTTTTTGGGAATGGGATGGAAGAAAAGCATAGATATGTGTATGTGTGTGTGTGCGTGTATATATAAATATAAATATATTGTTTTCAATGGTAAATGAGGGCTCACCTGCACTGAGGTACTTTAACCACAGTATTTGTTATCTGCAGTGTTTGAGCACACAAGAGAGTGCTTACAAGTTCAATGCGTCACTAAATCCTCAAGTCACATTAGGAAAATAAACACATGAATGAATCATGAGTCACATAAGCTGACACTAGCAGCCACTAATGAATACGACGAACTAATGATGATGACGACTCGCATAAAAACCAAATGAAGCGACCACGAAGGAACGTTATTAAGTGAAAGCGGTCTGAGCTGAAAATGAGTATCTGTCGCAGCCCTCGCTCCGCATTAGAATGACGTCTGCTTTAGTTACTGAATCACACTGAAAAGCTGTAACCACACACATCTTCCAGGGACAACATTGTAGGAAAATGACAAGACTGTCAGGAATAATACATCAGCTTACAAAGACATTGAAATATTCACTTGTCTCTCCATCATCCTGCCCTCCTTCTGTCTGAATCAATTGTTCCTTCTCATTTTGCCACCCTGTCTAATCTTCAATACTCTCCCTCTTTGTCTAGGCTGCATCCTCTATCTGATTTAATAATATGTAACTTCTATATTTAGGTTCTTGTGTCGACCTTTTTAAGAAACAATTGATGCTGACCTTTCTCGCTTCATCCCATCTCTCTTTCCTGCCCCCCTTTGTTCTCTACTCTGATCAAATAACGTAAGAAGTGAGCTAAACTCCCACTTTCTGCTTTCTCCTTTGCTCTGTACTTCTCAACATTCTGCTGTGGTTAAGGTTCTGCACAAGCTGACCCCCTGACCTCTTGTCTCTGCCTGTCCTTTCCTTCGCCCTCGCCCTCCGTACTCCCTACCTCCTTCTGGAGCCGCCGGAGCTCCTCGCTCAGGTTGTTGTTGACCTTCATCAGCTGCTGCACCTTGGCTTCTGAGGAGGCCAGAGCCTTCTTCACCTCCAGGTACTCCTGCAGGGTGATGGGGCCGTCTGACAGGTCTGATGAGTCCATACTCTGGATTGATAGGACATACAGGCAGGCAGACAGATGGACAGAAAGAAAGACAGACACACAGACGGGTGGACAGAAAGGCACAGACAAAGTGAGGAAACTGACATAGGGAGACTTGGGAGGCTATTCCAGGGTAAAAACCCAAAGTGGAACACCTCATATCTCTATGAATCTGCTGTTAACTCACCATTCTATCTTATATACAGTATGTAATGTATGCAGTCTTTCTGCGGAGGTACTATGAGGAAGGATTCGGGGTTAGGAAGTATGAATTAGTGCCTTTTAAACTGGATACAACACAGTTTATAACTGTGTGAGTGTGAGAGGAAGTGGGCTGGCCTGGAGGGTCAGCACTACAGCTGATCACACACACACATATAGACAGTGGTGCCTCAGTTCTTGCTCCCAAGGCAACATCTCGGCCCACTTCCTGTGACCCCCCGGAGCATGCTCAAACACATGTCTTTACCACTCCCTAAAAGGCCGCATAAAACATCTTTCATTGACTATTCCTAAGAGCTCTTTGTTTACAATTCATCCACCTCCGACCCAATCCATTTCTATTTTACTGTGATGCCTCCACTTAGTACAGATAACACAATGCATAACATGCCGCCACTTAGTCCTATAGATAACACAATGCATAACATGCCGCCACTTAGTCCTATAGATAACACAATGCATAACATGCCGCCACTTAGTCCTATAGATAACACAATGCATAACTGAATACACTGACATTTGATACGAGCGCAACAAATGAATGCACATATTTTTAGAGTGCAGATGGGAGTGGAACCTCACACTTGCGGTTTGTCAGAGTTCTGCCCAATGAGCTAAACAAGTCCACAGGAAAAGGAGATAGTTACTGGTTTAGCCGTTTACTTTGTCATTTCTACCACTCCCACTCCGCACCATTTCTCCCCTCTTTTCCTCTCTCGCTCAATCTCTTCTTCTCTTCCCTCTCAGTACACACTCTCTCTCTCTCTCTCTGTGTGTATGAAACAATGCCTCTCTGACAAGCACTCAGAATAGCTGATGATGTCACTCAGGAGCTATGTGGCGGCCCTGACTGTGGCCACTCCCCGCAAAGCATGCTGGGACAAGCAGTCATGAAGAGGAAACCATGGAATATCTTTGCTAGCTAATGCGACTGCTTTTCCAATATCCTATTCGAGAGGAACGTGACTGAATTGCCGAGTAACATTTTCAAACTCCTTGTGCGTCGGCCTGTGCAGAGTTGTGTATTATCAAAACTAAATGATGAGTGTGCATGTGTGTTTTAGTACTATACCTTTGCACGGTTGCTGCGTTGCGTGTTGTTGTTGTTCTGGGTGGTCAGCTCGCTGTCTGTGTCTTCATCCGACGCTACGCTGTCGTAGTCATGCTGGTCATCGTCAATGCCCAGATCTAATGGGTCTGACAAAGCAAAAAATGTACATCTATTACACTACTCAATATAAAGTGCAGCAGCCCTCCTCTTTCTTTTCATCTCTGCCTTTAGGAATGCTCAGACTGATAAGACTGCTCACTGATGTCGGGCCAGCTTCTTTTTTTACAACTTATTTCACCGGGGTTTTCCATGTTGGTTTCACATCAGAACCAGTTGTTAGATTTATATTCAGAGAAAGATATACATGTAAATGTAACTCTTTAACAACGAATCCCAAAGAAATCACCCTTCTTCCCTAAGTTGCTGGACTGGAGCCCGTTCAACATGTTGCTGCTTGGAACAATAATCACGTTTGCTTCAAAGCTCCACATTGTTGTACAGAGCGGTGTTGCAAAAAGTCATGTGAACTGACATATCCATCTATATTTGTATCTAGGTTAAGTTATATGCCCTTGTTTTTTTTTTTTTTTTTTTGCTATTCTTTAAAAAGCTTAATAATTGCCTTCAGCCCTGCGTCCTAATTTGTCTGTCCCTTCCTCCCAGTGTCTCACCAGTAGGGCTGCTGAGTCCTTTCCCCTGCTGTCTCCTTTTGGCGTCACTCAGGATGTCGATGATGAGCGTGGCAAACTCCCGCGCGTTGAAACGAGCCAGCTTCTGACGGCCCTGAGAGCGGAACGAGTCAGGAGTTAGAACTTGGGGTTACTGGCATGAAAAAGGTCATGAAGTTGTCTCATCAGTTGTGTGGAATACAGATACAATCCAGCCCACAGTCAGTGGTTCACTGCCTGTGGGACTGCTGTGGTCAACGACCATGTGCTGTGGAAAAATACAGTCATACTTTAACACTCATCACACACACCATCAGAAGTATGCTCTCACACACACACACACACACACACACACACACACACACACACACACACAAACACACACGAGGAAAGAAACCGTGCAATTACGCGAGCATGCTGGCATCCATAGAAGAGAATAAAAAGTCCCTTTCAAATGAAGTGCTAATCTGGAAGTACTGCACAGAGCGATGTGTTATTCATAACATGTTTCTTTGGAAGACAAAAAGCAGGTAAAAAGTTCAACTCTAAATGCGTGTGAGTGTGTTTAACACCATAAATAGACAACACTTACTGACTACAGTGAAGTGCCCAATCAGGGGAAGAGCAAACGTGAGCGACGCAGGTGTGTTTTTTACGGTGTGTGTTAGAAGTCAAAGTTTACACTAATGAGCCACACAGATGAGGAGAAACAATGTGAGAGGACATATGGGAATTCTCTCTCACACACACTCACAGAGAGAGTGAGGGAAAGAGGGGGGGGGGGGGAGAAACACAGATGGATTACATCTTTTCCTCCTCTTTCACAGGCGAAGAATATCCCTCGTCAATTTCACACTCATTCTCGGCCTCCCCCCAAAACACATACACGGTCCAACTGTCTGAGATATCCCTATGCTTTTTTTTTGCTCGCAAGTTCTTTCACCGTAGTTTCTTCTTTTTCTCAGTTTCATGATTGTGCACAGGTAAGAAATATCTACAACATCAATGTATACGAGTGCATGCATGCCACCTGTGATTGTCTGCACTATAGGCTTGTGCATGTATGAGTGTGTTTACCTGGTTGCGTGTGGCAGAGTATTCAGGATTGACTGGAAGGAAGGGCACCGCGCTGCGCTCTGTTACCAGAGTGCTGTGGTTCTGGGTCGTAAGCCACACTGGAGACACAGATATGAAGCAAAAAATAAGTCTGTGTGTGTTTAACAAGGAACACCCAGTCCATCCACCCACACATGCATACAAACCAAAAAAAAACATACAGTAGGTCCTAAAACTGAATTCCGGCCCCTATAATCCACCGTTGTGATTTGAGCCCTCCCCCTCTGTGTGTGTGTGTGTGTGTCTTTGTATCCTTGCCACTTACCTGCGGTGCTTCTGTCAGAAAGCACAATTTGACTGCTACTGCTACTGAAGGAAAAGAGAGAGAAGAAATGGAGAAAAAGAGAAGGAGAAAGAGCCAAGGAGGAGGAGAGACTCAAGAATTTCGGAGGCCCTTCCTCGCTCCGTCTCTCCTCCTCCCTCTCTCTCCTTCAACAGTCCCTTTCCTTTTCTCCTCACTCTGTCCTTCGAATTCACTCAACATCTATTTTCTCTTCCTCTTTCCTTCATGTCACTGATGTCATGTTGGGGGTGTTTTGTATGACTTTAAACATCTAGTTTCCATATAAGGACAGAGTCAGCACACATGACAGATACTGTATGTCTGCTTCATAGAAGGATGTGACGAGGGAGGAGATTAGGCTCACCCGCATCGTTTTCTCTGCGATCGACCTCGTCATAGACGTCCATCGCCAGCTCCTCAAACAGCCGGTTGTTGAGCTGTCTCACACACACAAGCAAATTGAGCCCAGATATATATTAACAGGTGTATTGGTACATGCATACACATCAGCCCTGCAGACGCCAGTGTGAGAACCAGGAGACAGCAGAAGAAAACAACCTGATGTGCAGTCACTTAGCTGAAAATGTTAAGACTACATTTTATATTTACTGCCTCATTTTGACAATATCACTCTCAAAATCATATTTATCTTTGTTGTTGTAATTTTACTATTTCTATTTTAGTCCACTTTTTACTGTATTTATTTACCTTACTCTTATTGCTATTATATTCTATTTTATACTTATTTTACACTTAATAATTGTTATTCTATTGTTCATACATGTTCATTCTTCTGTCTTAATCTTTGATCAGACTCGCTCAAGAATTTCCTTCAGGATGAATAAAGTTCTGTCTCATCTTATTTATGCTGAAACTTCTGCGTGATGATCTGCGAGTACTTTAAGTACTTTAAATGTTGATAACCGACCATCAGCTCTCAGTTTTTTTGGATTACCGAAATGTGGAGCTGAACAGATGGCCCTGGAACGGACAAACAGAACTTTGGAAAGGAACAGAAAATCTGGCTGATACACCAACCAACCTTTTGAACCAATGTTTCTTAATTACTCTCGGTTTACATTCATTTCAAGGACACAAGAAAACTTGCTCAATTTATTGACTAAAAACTTACTTGACAATTCTTACCATTTTCTGTAATGTAAATGCACAACAAGTCATCATTCAAACCTCACAAGTCAATCCAACTCACCGCTTGGAGCTTCTTCTTGGCAGCCTTGGCCAATTCTGAGAGGTCCAGACTAAAAAAAACACAGAGAGCAACAGTCAGACAGTCACCACAAAGATGCAGTGGAATGAAGAGGCGGAGGGAGAGGTTCGGGAGGAAGACATGGATATGGAGAGCGTAGCAAGAGGTGAGGGGATGGGAAGGGAGTTTGGTTCGAAGAAGGGAACGGGGAGGATACATTTAGGGTGGGATGCCTTGGGTGTAATGGTGACTGACATTTAGAGCGGTCTAAACCTGACAGCAACTGTACAGACACAGGGACAAAGTGCATCTGTGATTTTGCAAGCTACAGCGCTAGAGCGCTAAAAACTGTAAAATAGCTGCACATATTTATGTCAGTCAACTTTCCTACAATATGTTGCTCTAGACTCAAATACTTTAGAATGTAATTAAGTTTAATTCACAGATATAAGAGCTAGAAATCAATCATCTTTAATCTTATTTCTGGACAAACTATTGTTTATGTGGCCACATGCTAGTGTGCAAGGTGAAGATATGGATATGACTGGTGTGATTCTCCGGAGCACAGCAACACCTTACTTACTGCAGGAGGCCCTCCGTCTCCATTTCCTTTCAGCTTTTAGTCATCGAGACTTTTTCCCCCTCATAACTAGCTGTGCAGCTGTATTTTCTAGTGATAACAGATTAAGGCCTAACAATCTCCCCACTGTGAAACCGCTGAAGAAGAGATTGTGGTGTACAAGAAACATCTATAAAAGATGGGGTAGCAGACAGAGGGGACTGAAATGAAGGAAGAGATTGTGGGGGGGGAAAAAGGAACAAGGAAAGTAAAGATACCTCTGTGTCGGGCACTTAGGACGAGCTCTGGCTCCACCAAGCGCAGCGAAATGGAGAGAACAGAAGACGAGTGAGAAAAAGGAAGAAAGAGACAGAAAGAGGGGTAGAGAGGCCACATCAAAAACGCTTCAATTGTTATTATCAAGAGGAACCATTTACCAGAACAGAACAGATGCAAGTGGAGTTAGACGGCAGCTCAGAAGTCAAATACTTACTTACATATGCGAGTGTATTTTTAGGCTGCTTCTCTGACTCCGCTGAGAAAACCCCAGCACCCACCAAACATTTTGAAAGAAGCTGTGCCAAGTAGCACTGAAGTTGATTTATTATAACCTGACTGTGCACTTCTGCACCTCTCAAATCAAAACCTGCAGTTTAGGAGTTATAAACCAAGCACACCTCAAGTATCTAAATCACTGCGGGTACCTGTAATAGCTTCGATCGGCCTTCACGATAAACAGCCGCCTTTCATAGAGACCTCCTTTAATTACCTCCTTTTTTTTGGGTGGGGTTACATATACTGTGGTGCCACCCTCTGGTCACAACACTAAACTGCATCAGTATCAATTTACCCACACCAGGGAGACGCAGTGAAAAGAGTAATGGAAGTATAGACAAAGTCCAAGTATACCAACAAAGACACTTCATGCAATCAAACCACACCATGCATGCAAACGCAAGGAAAGCATAACCAATGTATCACTAAAACAATAGCGTCATGGTGCATACCTGTCTGCCATTTGAGGAATGATATAATGGCCATTCTTGTGATCTGAGGAGAGGGAGAGGGGGGGGAGGAAAGAGGAGAGGAGACTGAACAACTGGATAAAAGCTACCGCATATGTCACTGAGGTTAACTGCAATGTACACGGGCATGCGAGGCGCACACGAACGGGTGCAGTGGGTTACCTGGACGCCGTCCACAAAGGTAGAAAGCTAGTCTGTCCGTCAGTTCGTACTGACACTCTACCAGCCGATCTGCTAGCTCTATATGGCCCGCCTGCCTGGAACACAAGACACAAACAATTCCACCTTCTTGTTGTGTTTTTGCTTTTCCTCTCACCATTCTCCAATCGCAGATTCCATTTGAGATTTGATTTAAATGCAAACAGTGTTATTAGTGAAGTGCGTTTCCAGCGTTTTGTACCTCGCGTAGTCCATAGGCGTGCGTCCGTTGATGTCCGGTGCTCCGGGGTCAGCACCGTACACCACGAGCAGCTCGGCCTGCAGGATCTGCCCTGCCTTGGCCGCCACATGGAGCGGGGTAGTGCCTTTCTCCTGCAGTTGGACATGCAAACAGAGTCAGGACAAGAGACCTGGCATAAAGAGAGTAACTGAACAGCACGGCTATTTTCTAGATGAAGTGAGTCAGCGAGTAGATTTTGTCCTGACCGGGTGGAAGAAGTTGGCCTGAGCGCCGAGGGACAGCAGCCGAAGACACGTCTCCAAACTCCCTGTCCGTACACTCGAGTGTAGTTGCTAATTAAGAAAGCAGAGAGGAGAGGAGAGAGAGGAATACAGAGTGTCGGGTGTGGAAATATTAAACGTCGTGAAGAGACAGAAACAGACAGAATCCCCTTATTAGCCCGATGGAGCACAACAGCATTAGAGATCATCATTACATCCTGCTGTGTCATTCAGACCACTTCCTGCCAGGCAGTTAGTGTGCATGAGTGTGTGTGTGTGTGTGTGTGTGTGTGTGTGTGTGTGTGTGTGTGATCCCACTGATATCTTCCCACTGATATCTTTAAATAAAACATAATTTGTGCTTACACATGCAGTTCAGCAATATGGAATATCTGAATGGGCTAATTATGTCGAAACCCTGCTGTGGAGTACTGAGCCCTCACCTTACTGAGGTCCTTGGTAGTGACGCCGTCATCATCACGGCAGGGCAGCTTGTGCACAAAGGCCAGCATCTGGTATTTGGCTCTGATGAACTCGGACTTAGTGGGACTGGACCAGAGTAGAAGATAAGATGGTTATCAATAAATACTTAATTAATCCCTCTTTGGGGAAATTTAATTTTTCCACTCCGTTGTTATTTTTTTGTTACACACAGAGGCCCAAAATAAACACACATGCATACACAGGATGTATAGATAGGCATTATTTTCTCTACAGAGATGTCAAAGTGATGCCACACTCAGGCACTCTGAGCAGTTAGGGGTTGCTAAAGGGCACCTCGGCAGTACCCAGGAGGGGAACCGGCACCTCTCCAGCTACCGCTCTAAACTTGAACCGGCCACTACTAGCTACTGCCGCCCCACGACATTCAAACCTCAGAAAAAGTGCATTAATATGTGTTTAAGTTTCAAGTTTTTTACTGAATGCCACAAACAGCTGATTTGTATTTTGGAGTGAGAAGCAGTTCAAGCTTTGAGTTCCCTTTATCTCCTCCTCCTTTGATTCTTAAGAACTCGGCTACACACCTAAACAAGACTGCGGTTTCTCAGCAAAGCCTGAGTTCCTTCACATCTTACTGAATGAGCCACAACTGATATGTTACTACTGGTTTCCTGCTTGTTTTACAAAGACAGTTACACAATATACAATACTGTAAATGTTAAGGGATTAGGCAGAATGTGCTTCCACACAGTAGTGACATGACACATTAAGTTCAAGGAACAAAAGATGTTGTGCAGGTCCAACTCCTGATCTCATGACACTCCCATATTCACATTTCAACCCAAATGAAGCACTGCAAACCTACAACGACAAACCCTATCCTGTGTTTAGATACACAAAAACCCTGAGAACAGAACAATATTCATTAGGACGGCGTTACAAGACTACGAGACGACTGTTTAGAGGGCATTAAGGAACAATCGGGTGCAATAGCTCTTCGCCACTGCAAACAGCAGTTAAAGGTTATATAGCATTCCTGTGCAGCCGGGACAATCATTTCCCACAGTAAAAGTGTGATAGTTTTGTTCTGTGTATTTTGAGCCTGTAGGGAGTGTACTTACTGGACTTTGTCCTGGGGGTTGGGTTTCCTACGACCGCTCTGTACCTGAGCAGGGTCCAGGAGACTGTGTTCCCATATGGAGTTGGCCCCGTTACTGGCCAAGGTCTGGACCATCTGAAACCCACATGCAGCAGGGACTCAGTGACGGTTCACCGCAATGCAAGCCAATTATAAGAATAACTTGGTGTCCCCTTAAAGCTCAAATGCTATATTGTTTGTTTTCATGACCAAAAAGCTAAAAAAAAAAAAAAAAAAGGATGTACAAACAGATGAATATGCATATATTTGAACATAAATAAAGAATATACAACAACAAAAAAAAAACAGATGGAAACACTGTGGGAATGGATTTGCTTCCCCAGTGCTGAGTCAGATTTCTAGTCGTCACCTTCTGGACCACAGGTGGTGCATTTGCTTCAGCTTAATTTACTCTTTCCTCCACCCTTCCTTTCTCAGCCTTACCTGCAGCAGTGCGGGAGGCCATCCGCTGTGCCTCAGGTGCTTGACTATGGAGATATGGCGGCCCAAGCTGCGGTGGACTGAACAGCATTCATCACAGATCAGGACCCCGCGGTTGATGCTGGTCCAGCCCGGGTCTGACAGGGAAACAGAAAGAGATGAATGCTATTACCATATTATATATTACGGGTTATACGTATGTGAAAAGGGGAAATGTTGAAGGCAATATCACTAATAGAGGACATACAGACCAGGTAAATTAGAACCTTTCAGTCATAAGCAGCTTGGTACGAGACCAGTGCCTTACTGGCTGCACCAAACGTCAGATCTACTAGTTTATGACAAAAACAGAGGTTTCCATAACAGCATTTGGTATTTGTTTTAGTCTGGTCAGTGTGATATTACAGTGGCGAGCATAATGCTGGGGGGATCGTCACTTCTTTCAACCCGACATTGGAATAGATGAGTGTGAATGAGCTCAGAATGGGCCATAGAGTCATAGAGTCTGGGTCCCATTTATGCACCCAGGAGCCTGATGTGATGAAAAGCTCACAACTCCTATGGTCTGCAATATCAAAAGAATTATATGCAGACGTAGATGCACATGATGCATTCACAAACACACACACACACACACACACACACACACACACACATCTACTGTCTGCATTAGTCACTCTCAGGCAGGGATAAAACTGTCTGGGCTTAGGAGCTAAAATAGTCCATCATCAGATGAACTGACATGCTTGCAATTGTTTTCGCCCCGCAGAAAAAGTAGCAGCGATGCTAAATGGCTTTGATAAGAGCTATAGCCTAGTTTAGAACAGTAGCCCGTGGGCTTCGAAGGCTGGACTGCAGCAATTTAATTCCTTAATCTTCGTAAAAACTCCCACAGGCTACGCTATCCGCTTGGCTCGCTGGATCAATATGAGGATACACCATTAAGCTATTAGACCTGAAATTATTGGCAGCAGGTATTGGCCAAATCTGCAGCATGACATAATTTAACCTAAAGTTGGTCCAATTTATTAATAAAACATGGACATTTGTTTTTAAGCCTGCATAAAAACATGTGTTACAATAAGTATTAATGGTGCTGAAATAAACACTAACTTTTGCTTGCACATAATTACATCATTTGTTTCTACACTAAAGCTTAGCTTTAATTCAATATCCAGAAGCAACATGTAGGTCCGCTTGCTTCATCTTCTCTAAGTTTTGCTTTTTAAACCCGACCAAACACCGGTCACAGCGTCAATAGAATCATTTGACAACACAGCACGATGAAGGAATTCGACGCCACTGTCAAACTGCTCTAAATGCTTGCATGAGAGCTTATTATACAATTGCATCTGTGATCAATAAAGAGTTTACTATCATGACAACGTGATTCATTGTTGCTGTAAACTGTGCAGATTGCCACGGCATGACATTAAAGCCTCCTGAGGCTTGGCTTGGACTGGGAGTATCAGTGGTCCTTTGTAGCCATGCCATTGAGTTGTCCCCACGACACAAAGCCGGGGTAGTGGGGAGGTGGCTTGTCACCAGTGGCTAGGTCAGTACTTTGCAGAGCGCACTGCGTGCGTGTGCATGTCGTCGTAAGGAGGGGATACGTGAAAGGAGCTGATGGTAGTAGAAGAAATATACAGCTCGTAACAGGTACACCAACGCAAAGAAGCCCACCACCATTATGAAAAACTGTGTATTAATCTGAGAAAACCCAAGTGAAGAAACAATTACTTTGCAACATTCACACACACACACACACACACACACACACACACACACACACACACACTGACCATACTGTAAATTGCTATGGCGTTCAAGGAAACTGGGGTTGTTTAGTGCTGGTCAGTTTATGCAAGAGGACAGACAGCAGGAGGGTTAGTAAATATAATAGTAGCAGGAATGGGGTTCAGGTCGGAAAGCAGAAGCAAGGTGCAGCCGGCATGCTTTTGAACACTGAGCAGTAGAGCGTTATGACAGTTTTGCACACACAGAGAGACACTGCTATCAGGGGGAGCAGCCGTGAAGAGGGCAGCTGTAGAAATGCAGGTACAGACGAATCAATGTAAGCAACACACACCAATGAACAAGTGCTTTAAAGTAGACATGAGGGCATGTGAGGCTACAAGGTAGAGGCATGAGAAGGGATACCAAGGTTGACTTGGCACTACCTCACTTTCTGACAAACACAGATGGGGTAAACGAGGTAAACAAATCTACAAACACGATGCTCATCGTAGTGGTCATACAATATGGGCAACATGTTGCTTTTCTCTGGTGAAGTCAGAACATATTTATTCGTTTCGACTTCATTGTGTATCAGGTTAAATGTTCCACTTTTAGGGTGGCTTTCAAATTAATTCCCTCAGCGTTTGTAAAAATGTAATTTCTAAATTACGGAGAAGACTAAAAATACAGTGAAATAAATGACTATTTTATAGAAACCTTAACTCAATGAGGTAAGCTCTTTCGTGGTTTTCCAACAACCTACGGAACCGGCCAATAACTAATGTCAGATTCATTTAAAACGACTAACTCACGGCGCGTTAGCGGAACCCGCTTAGCAATAACTTGCCGTTTAGCAAAAGTTAGCTGGAGTAGCTAACATTGAAGCTAAGCTAGCCAGGTACACAGCCTCAAAACGCCGCTGGAAAGAGCTAACATTAACACAGCATATAAGAAATATAAGTATGACGCTGGTATACTGTGTAAGCTAAATGTTTAACAATAGCTAGCAACGCAGTGAGTCACAATCGCCTGCTCGTTAGCGAGGCTAAGCTAACGCGATGAGAAGCCTGTCCCGGTTACGAAAAATCAAAACAAACGTCTCTTCAACAAGGAAGGCGACGTAAATCTGACACTCAGATCCACAATGCAGAATATTACGTGGTTATCCTCGCATATGGTCAAATGAATGTGCACATCAAGCCGCTTAATTAACGTTGAGCAGCTATTAGCCACAGATTTTTCCCGTTGTGGTAACACGCCTATTTTTCACTGTTTATTTTGGGCCTAAGCGACGCTTGGGAGCCCTGGCCGTTTTCCTGCTCTGCGAACCCGCTGACAGTGACAGCAGCTTCGGCCCTTATTGTCCCACCGTATCCCCCCCCCCCCCCCCGACGTATTGTTCCAAGTAAAGTGGTCTATTTAGAATTTATATTTCCTCCTCCCTACCTGGCGCACTGCAGTCGGCGCAGACCTCTGTCCTTTGTAGCTTTCTTGACATCTCGAAAGTCGGTGGATGGCCGTGATGATGTGGTGGTTCGCCCTTACTCCCCCGGAGCTACCGACCGACGTCTGCTGTCTCCCGATGCGGCCCTTGAATCCCCGGAAGCCGGGTGGTGTGATCGGTTTTCCCGGGGCCAGCTGACAGTTGGATTTCCCGTTTGATCCTGCGGTCTCTTCGCCCACGTCCACTGCCGAAGTCAAGCCTGGAGCCAGTGCTATGCGAACATGGTTAATCCGGCTGTTTGTATGAACCTCATAACGGAATATTTACTAAATATCTTCGCTGCATTGCCTGCAACTCACCGGGAGACGGCAGCTCTCTACCTGTCAGTTTCCGCGCACACACACACACACACACACACACCCAACATCCCTGCAGCCTACCTACGGAGGGGCAGGGAGGGGTGAGAGGGCAACAACAATCATGCTGTCATTATTTAGGGGAGGTGGGTTTCATAGACGGATCAAACTCGACTAAAACATAGAAGAGTCCACTCACCAACATATTTTGTTTACATGTTGCTGGATATTTACGAACATAATTTAAATGTAAGATATTGACCTAGACTTACTTTATCTCCTTAAAACATCAATATGAGGAGTGGTTCATTAGTAGCCTATTTACTGCAGGTATTGAACTTTTTAACTTGTCATTATTGGCAAAATAAGGGGCATACCTTTGACAAAACGCATGTTTTTATTTAAAAAAAAAAAAAAAGTTTTAGGCTCATTCATAGATTTGGTAGCAATCAGATAAATAAAATGCATTAAACAAATATGTGGAATATCTTTCTGTTGCTATTCATATTATTATCATTTCATAACATTTTAGCATTATTAATCCTGCTGTTATTACTGTTTTTTAATAATAATTTTGATTCCATTCTGTCATACAGTTAACAAAGCAAGGTGTTGTGCATAAAACTGAAGCATGACACAACAAAAACACTGACGAAGTAGAGGATTCGAATTGATTCAGACTTTCAATTAATGCATTAACGCATTTAATTCTGAATCGGTTTACTTGGTATATCTTGCATTCAACGTGTATGCTTTGCTCCCCCCCCCCCCCTACAGTATAGCACTACTTCAAGAGTCCTGTAGGGGGGTTATGCTAGATAGTTTCCTTTTAAACATTTGTGTACAATTTCTGCGGTTCTCTTTTTCACGATACGTCTTTATCACAACATTGTTGACAGCGGATTGTCTGAGTGTGCGCACATTTCATTGCAGCCTGTCAATGCATCTTTCTCAGTCACCGCCGGATGGGAGGAGAGGAGGAGTATAGATGAGAGAGAGAGAGACAGAGAGGGAGAGAGAGGGAGGTAAGAGGTGGAGGAACGGGTAGTTAAGAAATAAAGGTGTAGCCGACACGAAGGCAGTCAAACGAGGGGTTTATATCTCTAAATGCTTTTCACAGGGCTTTGCAGGTTATTCTAAGCAGAGCATGCAGGGAGTCATTCACTGTTTCTGACGCGTAAGGCTGCCCTTGTACGCCGTTGGGCATCACCGCCGATAAAGGATGATCCGTTTGATTATCTAGCGTGAATTGATGACAAAGTCTCCTTACAATCCACAGTGAAGAAAGAGGAGGAGGCAAACTATGATCCGAGGATGATTTCTGCTAAGAAAACTCCGGAGAAGAGTCGCTATCCTATCCACTATTTGGTGTGGCACAACAAACACCGACAGCTGGAGAAGGAGCTGGCAGCGAACGAGCAGGTGAGACGGTGATGAGCGATCAAACGCCTCTCTCCTTCCAGACATAGGGGCCTGTGTCTTCATTATAAGCGTTTGTATGGGCGTGTGGGTCCATAGATTAGGTGGTAGATGCCATCCACATCATTCAAGAACCTGCTCAATAACTGGGAATAGCGCAGTAAATTGTTATCAGTGGGGTGGAGGGGGGACACGTGTAGATATCCCCACACTTGAATTCACACATATTATTTATTTTAGTCATTCATATTTAACTCAGAGTGACACAACAGACTTTATATGTCAAGGATCTGTGTTGTTTCCTGCATCAGGGCTTAAAATATTCACCATCCCAGTCATTTTAATAGGCATGGGAAGTTGTAACTGGAAAAAAATCCAACTGCAAATGTCTGTAATTGCTGACCCTGATGGTGTTGCAGTGCGTGTGTGTGTGTGTGTTGTCGGAGTCAAGAGGGGCTTTATGCCTGTGTATAAGCAGCAATATTTCACGATCTACTCAAAATTGTAGACTCTCTACCTTCCAACCCCGGCACCTAAACCATATTTGAGTGGGTAAGACAATGCAGATACTGAGCATGTGGGCGAACAGTTGCCAGCCACCGCCACAGTATAAACAATAATTGAATCATTAAGGTATTGGGTTTGGTTTCCAGAGAAGATGTTTGTCGTAATCAAAAGAATGGCAAATTATTTTCACCCACTGGTAAGAGTACTTCAGTTTAGGGTAAGGGACTCGATAATATGATAAGAATCACATTATTGAGTGTGTGTGTGTGTGTGTGTGTGTGTGAGAGAGTGTGACTGTGCAGGAGCATGCATACAAATTCAGTTATTTTTTTTGTAAATGCACTGAAGCGCTTTGCCATTATATAAGAGATGCTCTGCAGGTTAGCAACCAAACAGAAGTCTGAGTGCATGCATCATGCATCGAGACATCACGCTTACACACACACTTCCCTGCTCATGCATACTCTTACCTTCTTGTGGTTACAAAATCATAACCCTGTAAGCTTTTCCTTTACACCAAAATGGCCAGCTAGTGCCCCAAAGGCAGCTATCAATTGGTTTACCACAATCCCTACATTCACAGTAAGGGAGCATGCAAGTGACTGTTACCATGTAATCCTTGACCATAATTATAACTACTGGGAGATAAATGGCCAAACTGAATACACCTCACAGTGAAGAGGGGCCTCTATTCTTCAAGTCAATGTCTGAGGTAACGCCTGCACGTATTTCCTTGAAAGAGGAGCTGGAAAAGAACCGAAACCCTTTCAAACGTATGTAGCTTTGCAGTTGTTGAATGCACATTTTCATCCCCTGCTGGCTCAAACTATTGGAATGAACAGATGAGGTTTCATTGGTGCTTTGGTTTAAAAGTCCTTATTAAATGTTTAGGTTAAATGCACAAGGATCTATCTTTAGCCAGTAGCTACGCTAGTGACCCGAAGGATGATCACGTCAGGTCAGTCGGTCAGTCAGTGCAACGCTTAAAATGTCTCGACAAGTCAAAATGATTGGCTGGATTGCCAGGAAATTTGAAACAGAGCAATTTGAAACTAGAGCAGAATTAATTACAATGACTTTGGCGATCCCCTGACTTTTCATCTACTACCACCAACTGGTCAGAATCCAAAAGTGGTCCAACACTGATGCAGGATGACTCTAAAGCTAGTGTCCGGAACATTGTCATTCATGTTTCAGGAACCCTTGTATCTATAAATACTATATGATGCAAATGCTATTGCTCCTCTGCTGTGTATTTGAACCCAGGACCTCATATTTTGATCTTAGCCAACAGCCTGCCTTGTAGTTATGTTTCTCGTGTGAGAACAAACGTTGAACATCTCACGTACCAAAGTGTTCAGAATCAAATAAGCTTTGATGTTAATCCTTAGGAAAGCTTCATTAGTCACCCTCCTCTTTGTGCTTGTTTAGGATAACGACTCACGATTGTTGTAATTATCCGTGTAGATCCATCTATCATGGCAAACAAATGCCGATATATTATGTCATGTTGTTCACCACAATAGAAACTTGATTTAACTTGAACACTGTAAGACCTTAGATCTATGCGAAATGTAAAGCTATATGTCTACACACACACACACACCATATGTTTCAATGAATCCACTGGCTTCTTGACTATATTAGATTTCATAGGTTCTATCGTTTTTATGGCTTTAAAGCTTTTCAATGCTTTCAAAAGAATCACAAAGAATATATAAAAGAGGGAGATAGGCAGTGAATATGACTCTCTCTTTTACATTTTTCACAACAACCATAATGCATTGCTCTTTTCATGCCAGCTCCAGAGGCACTCTCCAAGACCCGAAACCTCAGTTATCAGCTATCTGTGTTTGGAGGTAGATCAGAGCAAGTTGTGAGGAGGCAGGTAGTAAACAACTGAACAGCAGAGCTTTATTTCTTATTTCTCCTGTTCCCCTCTCATTGTTAATGAAGTTCTACTCAGTCTAAAACTGTAACTATTCAAACGACCTCTCTATCTCTTGCTCTCCTGCTATTGCGAGTGTTCTCTAGTTGTGTGTGTGGGTTCATGCACATGTAAGTATGCATCATGGTTTTGCACGCGTCGTACAACGCAGTGCTTTGTTAAACATGTTTACATCCTCAATTTGTTTAGTCTAATGTCAACTTCACATCCCAAAACTCATTTGACATCCACTTTATGTCATAAAGTGGATGTCAAATTAACTTCATATGGTAACCTGAGCCCCTCATCTATATGCATGGTGCTGCTTATACTAGGGCGGCACACACACACACACACACAGAGACACAGAGACACAGACAGACCTTATGCATAACTATGACATTGTGTCCCATGCATTGACTGGTTTTATTGAACATATTCTCTTTGGATCACTCTTTGCATAGCTGTCAGAGAGATCTTGCATGCACTTGAGATACACATATACACCTGGCACACTGAACTGACTTCATGATCCACTTATAGAGAGAGATTTATATTGTGAGCATCAGCCATGACAGAAAAAGACTGGGGGAGCATATAGACAAAGAAGAATATTAGAAATACTAATGCGTAAAATGCATATTGTATATTAACAATACAGTGCATTGTGATAGATCCTACGATATCACATTATGGCAATGCAGATATTGCATGATAATGGTTGGTCTCTGATGAATTCAGTACCCACTCAGCTGTAGAAGAACTGTGTAATGTTTCTGACCTCTGCTTTATGCCACAGTAAAATAAAGGTAATCTACAGCCGGCTGCATATCAGCTTTTTTAAAGCCTGCCCAACCTTTGGTGAAATGATGAGGGTAATTTCATTTTTTCCCTGTGCAGGCATCAAATATCCGGCACTGTTTCTGATCACACTCGTATTTCCTTCCAGCACAACAATGCAATGAATGGCTGGTTGATGAAGTTTTAAAGAAATGCCTTTTCCCCCAATACTTGCGGTATGAGACTGTACGACTATATGTAGAGACGTCTATGCTTGCCCAATCTTCTATGAGCAGCATGTAGCAGATTGTGAGTGAGGGGAGCGAAATGCTGCCACAGCAGGCTACAGTGGAATAATTGGCACATCGGATATTGATGTTACGACGCAAAGCCAGAGAGGAAACTGACCATAGTAACAGGAGGAGCGGTTGAGTAAATGCCAGCGACACACAGCTGACCACAGAGAGACGTACAAAGGGAAAGACAGAGATGAGGAGTAGTAAAATAGGCAGAAAAACAAGCAGTGGGGGGGGGTAAAGGAAGTGATGAGAGATAAATTTTTCGCTGTGTTCACCAGATTCATAAAACAAAGTTGATGTGAGGGAGAGAAATAACAGCCAGTAAAGAGAAGTGAAATAGTGAAAGCAAGGAGGTAACATTGACTAACTGAACCAAGGAGTTGAGGCGCAACCAAGGTGAAGAAGGGAGTGAGAGTAAGAGAGTAAAGAAGAAGGGAGGAGGTGGAGAGGGAAATAATGACAGACTCTGACCATGAACAGAGTCCATCTGGGTTGCAACAGATGTAGAAGCCCAGTGTGATTGAAAAAGAACAGAGCCACGCAGACGGGGATGGTCTATCTCAAGACGAAGGCAGGAAATAACAAAGAGATCTGCTCATTGCTGTATCTTGTCCTCTCTGTGACTCTGTGTCTGACCCCTGCTCTCTCTTTCACAGTGCGTGGTTTGATCATCGTGCCCCTCAGTGTTAAATCACCATTATAAAATCGTATGCCGGGTTGCTGGCGCGAGGGAACGGAGCCATAAATTAAGTCTCACGGGTTCGTTGGCCCGAATCTATACGCCAACCATCTGCTATCTACTTTCACCTATCCCCTCCAAGCTCCTTCTCTTCTCTTCTCAGCCTGCGTCTCCCTGTTTCCTCTAATCACATCCAAACACTTTTTTTCATAGCGTCTATGCCCTGGTGCCCTCCCTCCCTCCCTCTTTACCTTTATCCATCCAGCTATCAACCCCTGCTTCACCCGTCTTACTTTCATCAGTGTAATGAAACCCAAGTCCTAACTGCAGCGCAGCAAAGCCACAAAGAGAGGTCATGAGGGCTGGGTTAGGGTCAGATTTAGTTAAGCTGCTGAAAGCTTTTAACAGAGAGAGAGAGACAGAGAGAGAGAGAGAGATATCGGCAGTTATAGGCAAAAGGAAAGGAGGATTGGTGATTGAATGAAGGAAAGATCGGGTAGTAAGAAATGAAAGTGGTGAAGAATGGAAACAAATAGGCCTACATAAGAAATCAGAGGAGATTGAACACCTAGAAGTAAAGACCCGTGCAACAGACAGGATGGCACACGTGACAATGTTGACGATGGAGATTCAAGTCCAAGGAAGGATCAGACGTAACGTTAAGGGTCATTGAGTCCTTTCCGCCACAGTCCTTTCAGTGTGGTAGTGGAACACGCTGAATCAATACGCTGACTTTTCTTTTTGTTTTCAGGGAGAAATGCTATGTTGATACACGTACCAAGTACCAATAAATGAATACATGTAAACTAAT